TCAGATTTGAGTTTCAGATTTGAGGACTCCAGGATGGCACCTGACAATTTGCATGGCGTATGGAGTCACCAGGTGACCCTGACTACTGGCCTGTGAACCAAGAACCACTCAAAGTGGTAACTTTCTGAAGTTCTTTGGGATAGTAATGGTCTGGCTGTTTAAAACCACTGGCTAAAGCAGTCATTATCGATCTTTTCTCGAATCACTTAGGGAATTAAAAACTGATAACTGGTAGTTGAATCCTTGCCCCAGAGATTTTTTTTTTTTTTTTTTTGAGACAAGGTTTCACTATGTCACCCAGGCTGGCCTAAAACTTGCAATCCTCCTGCTGTGGCCTCTGGGGGGATTATAGGCATATGCTATCCTATCTGTCCAGAAACTCTTTTCTAATTGGGCTGGGATGCAGCCTGGACCTTGGAATTTTTTTTTATAGCAACATATTATTTGAAAGCAACATATACCAGGTGATTCCAAAGTCCAGCCAAGGCTGTCAATGAAAATTCTGCTCCCTTGATTCCTGTTACCATTATCACATTATCACACCATGTTAGGAATTCCTTTCTAACATGATGCGTGTGAGCAGTGGTTTCTTTCCACATTGACCTTTTAATACTAGCTAATTTTTATTGAATACTTAAGATGTAGTTGGTCTGTTGGTAAGTGCTATACTTCTTTATCAGTTCCTTAGTTGTTTTGTTTTTGCTTACCTGATAGTTATGTTTCAAATAACATTTTCTCCCAGAAAGACCTTGTATTTTCTGGAATAAACTGTCTTCTAATTTGTGGCCAATATATATTACATTTTATGCTGTTTCTACTGGTTAGAAACTCAAAAGAGGGAGCAAAGATGGGAAAGAGGAATAAACATTTAGGGAAAAAAATATGGTCTGTTTAAACACGTTATACTTAGTACTTAATTCTCCATGAATCTTGGTGGGCATCCCAGAAATGGACAGAGACTCAGTGATTCCAGAAGGAACATTCCAAGAATGTTCCAAGAATGAGCTGCTGGGGCAGCTCATTTTCCTCTTGCTCATGACTGATGCATTTCCTTCCTTTCCAGGTAGAACAAAATACCAGATTCCCCTCCACCCCCAAGTTAACTTCTTTTGGAACAAATAAAAATCCCATTAAGAATAATGATACGAATTGTTTCAGGTAAGGGGATTTGGGGGATTTCAAAACGTCTCTACTAGATTACGTTTACCTGGTTTCAAATACAGACTTTCAGGGCCCTACGGCTCACTTCCACAAGATGGCAGTGCTGGGAGCTGCTAGACAACCCTCTTCATGTGGAATAATATTAGAATTAAGGTTAAGAATATATCCCACAGCTTTTCTTCCTGAAAATTTTGTTTACAAGCTTTATGGGATCTGAGAGGCAGTTGAAGTATGTCTTTAATCTGTGGCTTAGCACGATGTTGAATAAATGGTGCAAAACAAATGTCTGCTACATGACCTGGTGCTTATGCATGGAGCCAGGGCCAGGGCTGAAGCTGAAACAGTGAAGGGATGGAAGATCTCTTCAATCCTCCATTTTTCTTTTCCCTTCCTCCTTACTGGTTTAGACAAGAACACAATTCACCCTAAGAAGCCTGATGGCCCACCTCCTCTCTCAGCCTTCCTAAAATGGGCAAAGCAAATGTTCTGATCCTACCAGAAAAAGCAGAATTAGTTACTACAAAGACATGACTATGGGAGATTCCATTTATAAAAGGTAGCGTGTACAACTTCTCTAGTATACGTTCCCAGAAAAAGAAATTCCTGGGTTATGGAAAAGGACCCTGCTGGAAAGGTGGTGGGTGAGAAAGTGCCACACTGAAGCCAGAGGTCTGCATTTTATCTGGGCTAAAGTAGTGACTGTTCCAGGTCACTTCAGCCTTCTCTGCTTAGGTTTCCTCACCCTCAAATGAGGAGTTGCCAGGTGATCTCCAGGGACTCTTCCTGCTCTGACAGTCTGCCTATCTTCAAATATGGCTTCTACAATCATTATGTAAAACACTTAAGGGTCAAGAAGAATATTCTATTTGCTTTGAAGAGAAAGAATTGATTTCAAACAATTATAAAATTCCAGCGTGTTTTGTTCTGTGTGTTTCAATTTTTGTCAAATATAAATATCCCTCTGTATTAGTTACAGTTTCTACTTTCATACAGCATGTTTTCCAAATCAATATGGACTTGCAGATTATTCTTTAAAAAGTCATATGAAGCCTTTTAAAGGGTTTTGAAGGGAATATCTTTCTGTACATTAAATATCTGGGTAACTGGCTGGTACAGTGGCTCAAGTGGTAGAGCACCTGCATAGTAAGCAGTACTGCCAAAAAAAAAAAAAAAAGGAAGGTGGTAACAGTTTGCTCTTTTAGACACAGGACTTAAATTATGAAGTTATATACCTTAGTTTTTAATCTTAGGGGTTTTTTTTTGGTGGGGTGGGGTTGGCAGTACTAGGTTTGAACTCAGAACTTGCTTGCTAGGCAGGCCTCTATTGCTTGAGCCACACCTCCAGCCCTTTTTGCTCTGGTTATTTTGGAGGTAGGGTTTCACTTTTTTGCCCAGGCCAGCCTGGACTACAATCCTCCCTGCTTTTGCTGGGATGTCAGGCGCACACCATTGCACCCAATTTTTTCCATTGAGATGGGGTCCCACAAACTTTTTTGCCTGGGGTTGGCCAGGGACCTTAATCCTTCTGATCTCAGCCTCCCAAGTAGCAAGGATTTCAGGTGTGAGCCTCTGGTGCTCAGCTGTAATGTTAAGTTTTTCAGGAACCTGTTTCATATTGTAGACTGCTACAAGCCAAAAGACAGTTGTTATGAAACCACCAAATAAGATCTAAACAAAGTTGGTTCATCTGTTCACCTGCCTTAGGAATTAGCACTCATGGCTATGACCTAACCACCTGAAGCCCTGTAATCAAAAAGGCCTTGCTTACTTAAGCCCAGGTCCTTGGGTCACTTGGACCTTCACCCAATAAAATCACTAAGAATTAATACTGTGACACCTGAATGAGAACAAGCAGTTCAGAATCATAAAAACATGCCATCAATCAAAACCAGTATCTACCAAACTTTCTTCAGAGCTGAGTGTTGGTGATTTGATTATATTAAAAATGCTAATAAACACACAACCCACACCTGCTAATCATCATAAAAAGGGTTTTAAAAATCCAATTTCAATATGACGACATCATTTATCCCCAAACTATAATATCTAAACACTGAAGCAGAACAACCAGTTCTACCTATTGGTGACTGAGGGCAGAATTTTAGTGCTTTCTAGAGTCAGGCATTTGAATCTTCCTTTTCAAACAGCCAAACGAAGACTTCTGTTCTCAGAAGGAGCAATCTGCTGCTAGGATCTGCCCAAATCCCAAGCACCTGCTTTCTCTGGCCTGGAGGCAGATGGTACATCATAAAAATAAAAGCCATGGAAAAAAATGTATGAGAAAGATAGTCCCTTTAAAACCCTTCAGGAGGTTCTTTTCCCTAAAATCTAGTACTATAAATAGACATGTTTTATGTTCCTATTTCAGTTCAGAATTTAGGAACTGCTGCAGGGCATTTAAAAAGTTTCCTTCGCCTGATTCATATACATGTGTTCACATATCCCCAAGGCTGGGAAGCCCCCCGCTTTAGCTTGTGAGCCCTGACAGCAGGACCGTTCAATCCGGGGATTCTAGCAAGTACCTCGGGCAGTAGCAGCTGCCATCCCCATCCTTCAGTCCTGCCAATGATTGCAAGTTCTCCCAAGTTCTTCCATCCTAAGTCTTAGCACTGCTCCATGGGGTTGCCCCATTTCTATTTGGACACTTGTACAGATGATCTAGGTGACAGTGAACTGGCATCATGATCCGCTTTTCCACGACTATGGAGGTCGGAGCTTCTCATCAGATCCTCATGCACCAGAACCCCCTGCAGGGCTTCTTAAGACACAGATTTGTTGACCCAAGTCCCCCAGAGGTTCTGCTTTGAGTAGGTCCAAGATTGGACCTCAGAATTTGTGTTTCTAACAAGTTGACAGCTGAGGCTGAGGCCATTAGTCTGAGGACCACACTCTGAGAACCACTGGCTTTTGCAGTGTTAGTAACAGTTATAATTCGTTGGGCCTGTGTTGACTTCTCAGTGAATCCCCATTTTATGCTGGACACATTTGAACTGTGTCATTTGCTTCTATTCAGATGCAGCAGTTACATACAAAGACGTTCAACAGGCACTTGGCTCTATCTACAATGGCAGGGCCGGCCGCTCAGCACTGTGAGCATCCAGGGATAGCCAGTGAGCTGGAAGTTTGATTAGCTAATATTCCAGGTCACCAGGAGTTACTGTAACATATGCATGGTACAATTTCAACAAGAATGTTTGTGAGGCCAAGCACAGTGGCTCGTGCCTTTAATCCATAACTACTCTGGAGGCAGAGATTGGGAGAACTGAGGTTCAAAGCCAGGGGAGCTGGGTGGCAATTAGCAAGACCTCACCTCAACTAATATCTGGGTGTGGTGGTAAGCACCTGTCATCTCAGCTATGTGGGAGGCATAAAATAGGAGGATCGCAATCCAGGCCAGCCTGGACAAAAATGGAGACCCTATCCCAAACATAACTAAAGCAAAAGGGACTGAGGGTGTGACTTAAGTGGTAGAGAGTCTGCCTAGCAAGTGCAAGGCCCTGAGTTCAAACCCAATACTGCCAAAAGAAAGAAGAAAGAAAAAAGGAATGTCTGCAAAAATCTGACTGATAATCATTGTAGTTTTTCCCAATTTTTTTATTTCATAATTTAGACTTTGCTGTTAAAAGTGCTGTGTACTGCTATCAACAATAGTCGAGTAGTTTGAAATGAGCAGATTTTGACAGATGATTAATATGGAGCGACTGAGCAATGCTTAGCATTTATATTCAACTCATTTCTCCAATTATCACACTTGGTTAGGTTTTAAAGCATGGCTTTGTCACAAAACAGTGTCATAATTTTAGCATTTATTTCAAGCACACTTTGGAATGTAAACATACCTTATTTAACTTGACAAAATATTCCAGTCCAGCTTCCAAGGGATTTGTATCACAGTTCATCTGAAAGAGAAACACATACTTGAAATCTTGGATAAGTATAAATCATTTCACATTCATATATATATATATTAGGAGAGAGAACACTTTGTGATTTTTTTTAATACAGGTCCTGAAGAAGGCAAACTATGAACTGGTCTCTAAAACAGTTTTATAATCCAAAATTCAAATGTAATTTTTTGTCAAATACCATCATTTGAATTTAGCAAATTTAGAAATTAAAGTCACAGTTTGTTTCCAGAGCTTTTAAACAAATATCTGAAGGATAGCACACAATGTTCCTTTCACAAACAAGACTCTTGTTCTTTGCATAATTTTATATAATTGTGTTTTGAGAGTTATTAAGTAATATACTTATATTGCAATCAGTCACGAATCAGGGGACAGAGAGAAAAACAGATGGTAGAAAATAAATTCCACAATTTGAAAAGGAAAAGAAAAAGCTAGGGTTGAATCTCAATCTTCTCACATATGGTTGAAGCATTACAATATATCCCAATTAGATCTGAAGTTAATGTTTTTTGTTTCTTCATTTTTCTATTCTGTCCTCTTTGTTGTACAAGAATTAGTTAAAACCCCCTTAAAATCAGTTAAACTTTCAAAGATAATATAGCACTTACATAAACCAAATGAAAATAAGGTTATTTTACATGATATAATTTTTCTCATATTTCTTAATCAATTTGAGCTACTCCAATTATTTTTTATCTGCTTAAAGTTTCAGGACTTTTTCAAAAAAGAAAGTTACACCACAGAGAAGATTGGTAGCACTGTCAGAACACTAGAGGGCGCTCTGGCACCGCAAGGAAACCACAGGGCCTAAGATGGCGCTGAGCTCCCGGAGGAGGGGCAGGGGAAAGAAGCACATACAAAAGCGGAAGGCTGCTTCTGCTGCTTCATTTCTTGGGGAGTGGGGACAGAGCTGTCCTGGTTTTCTCCAAGCACGTGGACTCAGAGAAGGCCCAGCTGTAGATTGAGGCCCCATAGAGCATTTTTCATGCAAAACTGTCCACGGCTTCTCTTAACAGCTCCATCTCCAGGCCCCTTTGCTTCCCAATCTTGGCTTTTAAATTAAATTAATAATTTTTTGGCAGTACTGGAGATTCAACTCAGGACCTTACGCTTGCTAGGCAGGTGCTTTACCACTTGAGCCACACCACCAGCCCTTTAATTTTATTGTGTGCTTGTCTCTTTCTATGTCAGCTCTGTAGTATAATATTCCATTTTATAGAAAAGCTGAGGTTCTGGGCGTTAGGTCACACAGCAAGTATGCAGGAGAGGATAAATTTAAACCCAAGAGTCCCACTCTGACGGTCATCTTTTACCACTGCCTGTTATCTCATCTTTCAAACCTAAAATCTCACTGTATTCCAAGGAAAGAACTAGAGAATCTGGAAAAGTTAGTGGTCTGATACTGTCACATTGGGAATAAAATTGGAGAATGAAATTTGAGCCAGTTCGGCCACTTACTGTGTAATCTAGGCCAAGGGATTCACTGACCCTAGTGTGACTGCACGTAAAATAAGGGTCATGATAATATGCACTTCGAGGAGGGCTGAGAAGGTGAATAAAATCCTGCATATGAAAATGTTGTGTAAATGGTTAAAGCACGATACAAATAGAAACTCTTAGGTACCATTATTAGTGGTGGAGGAAGGCCAGACCAACACATGCTGGACCATAAGAAGAAAATGAGATGGACAACGTGACAGAGGAGAAGAGGATTTGAAAGGTGATCCTCAATTCTTAGGACAGGCCTGCTCCCTATAGTCAGAGAGAGGATTTTTCCACCACCAAGGAGGAAATAAGGCAGAATAAACATTATGTCAGAATTCCACTAAACATTCAACTGGAAACTCTCTTCCCTAATTTAAAATAAAGTTGTCTGATAATGTGTTATATCTCTTACAGCCAGAATCAATGTTAAAAACCATCCCTCAAGCAAAAATTAGATACAATAACATAAACTTTTAATGAAGACGTTAGCATTTCAAACCTCTGACCCCCAGGCTCTGAAAGCTTTCTCCAGTCTTAAGACATTCATGGCATATGTTCCAAAATTGTCAATTCCTTCCTCCTGGCCTGCATCCATGACAGCATCATAAAGGGCTGCAGAATCTTCTCGACTGTGGTACAGCTCCCAACCCAGTTCACCTGAAATAAACCCACAGGGGCCAGACCACAGTAAGAATAATGATCACTGGGTCTAACATGCATTTGCAAAAACAAGAGAAATTATACTCAGGTGACACAGACATTGTTGATTTTTAAATGACCAGGTCACAGAAAGTTGCCCTAAGGCCTCCCTGCAAAGGAGTAGGCATTTCGCACATTCATTAGTGTGCACTCACAAATGACTCCCACGCAGTAGGACACCTCTTCTCATGAAACAGGAAAACTGTGCTGCAGGACTTACTCTCCACCCTTCATTCCACCTTCATAGTGAAGTTTTTCTATTTTCAGGACAATGATTTTAAGTGAACAATTTGCATGGGATATTTTATCAAGACAAAGGGCTCAAGGTTTAGACACCCAACCCAAGAATCACAAGGTTTAAAAATACAATCTCTTCAGAACTACTCAAATTGCCTTCATCATGGGATATCCTAGTTTTTAACTCCCTTTCTTCCCATTCCTTCCCTACTTGGAAATTTCATTCATCATTAGAACTGTGCACAAAAATAAAAAGAAAATGAAACCCAACCCAAACAGTCTTGCTTATTTTTTATTCTGGTCACCAAAAGTTAGAATGGAACCCTAGGGAAGAGCTATAGCTTTTAATATTGCATATTCTCCTTGTTCTGAAGAGCAAGGCTCTTCAGAATACCACCAGAATGGGGCGAGACATCCTGAGTGAATGCCTGGGCATAAAGTACTCTTTCAATATGGTCAATGTACTTCCTATGAATATAGAATTTTTAAACCTCCTGAAATCACCATAAGAAGAGGACTAAGGAGAAAAATGAAGGGGATGAAACAATTCAGGGTATAATACATATATACATGGAAATATCACAATGAAACTCTCTGTATAGCTATCTTAAACAAAAATGTCTTCTTTCAAAAATGAAGAACAGGAAGGTAAAAACAGGTCCTGTCTGGGAGTTGATGCAAGTGGGAGGGGGAGGATATGAGGAAAGAGTGTGGGAGGATGAATGTGGTAGAAATATTATGTACACATGGATGGAAATGGAAAAATGAGACCTGTTGAAACTATTCCAGGACTAGGGGGGAAGAGGAATAAAGGAGAATGATGGAGGAGGTGAACTCAACTATGATATATTATAAGAACTTTTGTAAATGTCACAATGTCCTCCAGTATAACAATAATAGGATAACTTTTAAAAAGTAAATAAATAAATAGATAAAAGTACTCTTTCAGGGACGAGAGACAAGGAGGCTTAGAGGAAGTCAGGGTGAGCCCAGAGCACCAATGGGGAACAGGAGAGCATTTGGTTTCAAACGCCTGCTCTGTGGGTTACATGCTACATGAAGACTTCCTCGTGAACACAGTCTGGAAGGAAAGATGGGTCACTGGCAATGGTCTAATAGGAAGCTCCATACATTCCTGATGGTCCCTAAGTGAGAATGTATCTCTGGGAGACCATGGTAAATGTCCCCAGACAGAATCTGCCTGCCTGGATATTCCAACAGCCATCTTTTTCCTACTTTCCCATCTATCCTTCAGGTGGGGGCAACAATTGGATCTGTGGAGCCAATCCAAAGGCTGAGTGAGATTTCTTCTGCCCAATCTTAGAATTGGGCAGAAGAGATCTTCCTTTAAAGTCACACAGATGAAAAGTGAGTATGTGTGTGTGAGAGTGTATGTGTATGCACAGCCGTTTCTGGTAGTATCTCTTTTTAAATTTTGGAGGTTTACTCTAGGTTGTTTTCCAATACTTACCAGTATAAGAAATCCTAATAGCAGTGACAGGAATGCTGGACATCTTTAAAGACTTGGTTTGAAGAAACTTGAAAACATCATCACTGAGATCTTCAGAGGTCAGTTTCTGAAGGACCTTCCTTGCAAGTGGTCCTGCAACTCCAAGGACTCCAAGTTCATCGGTTATGTTTTTAATTTGCACATCATAGCCACCTTTGACTGCTGCCTCTTCAATCCATCTGTATTTGAGTCATAAACATCGTATAATTATGGCTTGGATAATGCATTTTGCTAACATTTCTCTAATTTTGGCACATGCTTTGTCTCTGGATTTGTCAGAGTCCCCAGGGGCTCATAGTATACAATCACTTGATTTTCAAAGTTGAGGAAACTAAGTCCCTGAGATATTAAGTGATTCTCTTTAAATCACCCACTTCAAAATTGGAGGGGGGTATTTTTCACAGCACAGAAGGATCCTTCAATTTAAATGAGCTCTGCCATGCAGTTCTTTTAAATAGTGACAGCTCTATTGCATTTAAACTAATGAGTCCGTCTTCAAAAATTAATTTAAACCCAGATTTGCTCTAATAACTGTACACAGGAGGCACACTTGTGTTGCTAAAGGTTACTGTGCATGCCACTAGACGCATAATCGTTTTGACAATCACAAGGAAAAGATAAACACTCAATGTTCAATTTCTAAGTCTTGATGGGTCCAGCTACGAGACCAGTTTATAATTTACTGAGCAGTCCCTGGAGTATGCAAGTCTATCATAAAGTGTGCGTGTGGACAAGTGAAACTCAGTTACTAAGATGGCACCCGATATATCTTACACTAGAGCACACAATTTGCATCATTTTCCAACTAACATGAGACTCTGGCAGAGTAAGACAATGATTAGGTAAGTATTATGGGGATACTCAAGACTACAGACTTTAGAGCAAACTAAAGGTTTGTACAAAGACTTAATTTGGCAGGTCAATCATTTACTTATGAGCCAGGAAGCACAAAGTATCATACAGGGAAAAAAGAACTGAAGTCAGTCAAGTGTGGGCATCAGAATCAAAAACTGATTTGAGCAAGTAACTTTACCCCAAACTCAATTTCCCTCCCTGAAAATGAGAATAATATGCTTTGCAAAGTATTAGGAGATTTAATTGAGGTAATATCCAAAAGGGGTTCTAGCACATTGATGACACCCAATGAATGGTAGCTAACAGAACCAGTAAACCCAAAGGGGGACAGCCTTCACTTCAACACTTCCTAAAAAGACAATGAAGTTCATACAAAACGATCAGGTTGAAGAATTAAGGTGTTCTTCAAATACCAGTAAAAGAAAAACTCAAGGTAGGATTGGGTCAACATTTAATATCACATTTTTTTAACTAGGTATGCACTTACCTGAGATCGTGAAGCTCTGATCCAGAACCTGTTATTAATAGAAACTCCCCAGGAGACTGGTGAGAAACAGTCAACTCAGCATACACTTGACCTTTGGGCGTTAACATGTGATTTATATTTGTAAAACCCACCTAAACAAAAGAGTTTAAAACTACTTTAGGATGAATTTTAAATCTTATGCATTCACTTAACACACATATAAATAAAAATGTTAGTGTGAACAATGAAACCCCCCACTCTTACCACTAGCATGCAAGATTGATTTAGAATTCTCAACTTAAACAATCATTTAAAACTACTTGTCATAAAAATTACACTTGATTTAATTGCAGTTAATTTTAAGTTCCCATTGGTATAATTAAGCAAAGTCATTAGATCCTTGGATGATAATTTACTCCATAAAAATTTAAATTTAAAAATTAGCTTGTATATTCTCGGTCAGTTGAAGAGTTCTAGTGTTCACACAGACAGCATTAGGTGAAGGAAAAGGACATACTGGATTTTGGTTTTTGAAGAAAAAAATGAGAGGATGGAGAATTAAATGGGTCATAATCCTGGACCTTGTCTATTTACCTTTGGAATCACATTTGCAAAGAGATGGTCCAGCAATCTAATGGAGTCTTGGCCTTTGATGTTAAACTTGCCGAATGGTGACAGGTCAATCACCCCTACTCTTTGCATAACCTGTTTATACTCAGAGCCCACAGGCTCAAACCAGTTTGTGCGGTAAAAACTTGGCCTGAAACAATATTTAGTGTTAAAAAACAACTGCAATCCATTGTCCAAAAGTTACAGAATAAGAATGCCTTAATAAACTACCCATCTACAAACTCCCTCTTTAAGGGAAAAAGATGCAATTCTGTTATGCAAATGATACATATATGTTGGAATCTGACCTTTTAAAGTTACTCTTCTGTCCCTCTGACCCATTTTATAGTGAATGAAGTATTAATTAACTAGAAAATAAGACAGAAATTCATGTATTCTCAGATTCGAAAAACAGCATAGACAACAACCCATCATAGGTTTTCAGCCGTGGTTGTTCAGTCGAATCCCTTGGAGTGCATTTGGGGGCTTAATTAAATCAGAATATTGGTAGGTAGGGTGGCACTATCTATTTCAGTGCTTCTCAAACATTAATGCAAATATAAATCACTTTCACTTGTTAAAATCCAGATTCTGATGCCTGGGTGGGGATCCTACATTCTAACAGTCTCCTTGGTCCACACCTGGAGTAAGCAAGAGTCTCATCTAACATCTTCATTTTTCAGAGAAAAGGCACCAAGTGATTTTGAAGACCTTTGCGTTAGTTAATGACAGAGCTGGCCTGGAACAAAGGTCTCTTGGCTCATTACGAAAGGTCCTTTCTACATTACCAAGTGCACTTCTAACATGATATTTTAACTTCAGAGTGAGGTGCTAACTCTGCAAAATGAGTTTTTAGTAGGTTAATTATTAAAATGGCAGAAGAGAGTTAGACCCAGATATAAACAGCACAAAGTGAAGAACAGAGCTGGCATTTATTTGAGTCACTTAGGAAAAAACAAACCAGTATTTGGTGACCAAATAACCTAGGCTGACTGTCTATAGAGTCCAATCTGTTCATCAACAGCAGATCCTCCACTGTATTTTGTACCCCTTGGATCTGGTCTTAAAATAGATATCAAACCCATCTAAATAAACAAAATGACAGCTTGAATACAAAGACCACTTTATCTTCTAAATTTGCTATTTGTTTTCCTTTGGTTTGTGAAGTCGCATGAGAAAATAGACATATAATCACTATTAATCCCAAGTACAACAGTGACATGTAGCACTTTACAGGAATTCAGGGAACTATTTTGGTGGCATGCTTTCTGTCTTAGCTTAGCCTGAAACACTAAGCAAATGACATTTTCCCCTAATTTATCAACTGTGCGCTTAATTTACATGGCTCAGTGCACACACACTAGAAAGCAGGTGCTTTGAGCTACTTCATGCTGAGTAGAAAGTACAGGTCCTTTCCATCTTGTGCTTGTATGCTATGTGATTCAACCAGGTATCCTAAGCCACAGAAAGCCTTTAGGGACCAAGGAAAGCCATGTGGGTTTTTTGATGGGGGTGAGGAAGGTTCCTCTGAGCTGCTGGTAAATGCTTAGTGGAAGAGGCGTCACAAGGACTGATTGGTCCCTTTGTGGGCCAATGTTATATGTGTAAACTAATGCCTCCACCGCCAGAAAATAACTTGTAGAAATACACTCAGGGCTCCTTAGAAAAAAAAAAACCAAAAATCGTATGTTCTCCCTCATATGTGGACATTAGATCAAGGGCAAACACAACAAGGGGATTGGACTATGAGCACATGATAAAAGCGAGAGCACACAAGGGAGGGGTGAGGATAGGTAAGACACCTAAAAAACTAGCTAGCATTTGTTGCCCTTAATGCAGAGAAACTAAAGCAGATACCTTAAAGCAACTGAGGCCAATAGGAAAAGGGGACCAGGTACTAGAGAAAAGGTTAGATCAAAAAGAATTAACCTAGAAGGTAACACCCACGCACAGGAAATCAATGTGAGTCAATGCCCTGTATAGCTATCTTTATCTCAACCAGCAAAACCCCTTGTTCCTTCCTATTATTGCTTATACTCTCTCTACAACAAAATTAGAGATAAGGGCAAAATAGTTTCTGCTGGGTAGTGAGGGGGGGAGCGGGAGGGGGTGGAGTGGGTGGTAAGGGAGGGGGCGGAGGCAGGGGGGAGAAAAAAAAAAGAAAAAAAAAGAATGGGGCACGGTGTAGTGTGGCATGGGGAATCACGCCTCTCTGCTGCCCTCCACTCTGCTCCATGGTCTGATCCCTTGGTCAGAACTATAGGAAAGTTAAGTCATCTCGTACTTGTACTGAGGGTCCTGGCCTGGTTTGTAGAACCAATGCGGCTGCTCCCAACCCGCGTGGAACCCCATGGAACACTTAGACTCCAGGGTCTTGTAGAGTCCACCGATGCGCTGAGTTGGCCTCCCAGCAAATCGTTCTTCCTTAGGGTAGCCGACTGAAAAAGGAAAACGATACATTAAGTGGCTTATAATCAAAATGACAAAATACTTTGAAAGGATTTAGAAAACAGAAAATGCAGGACTGAAAATCCAGAAACATATACATATGTATATATACATATACAAATGCACACAATTCATGTACAAAGCAAAGCTGTCACTTACATTGATTATCAAAGGGTAAGGTAAAAATATACTTAAAATTTAAAATCAGTGATGCACTGTGCACATTAAATATGTAACGTCATAAATATTCCTTGTTGTGCTTAAAGGTACAATGCTGTTTAGAGTCTCTGACTACCCCTGCCCCAGTGAACAGAATAAAAAGCATCTGAAGTCAGAGGTACTGCCAGTCAGTTCTGCAAGCTGTAAAAACAACAACAAAATAGTATGTCACCAATATTGTTGAATCCATATGATTCTCTTGCTTTGGCCTCGGTGTACTGAGGTGTGGTCCATTTGCCATAGCGATTAGGATCCAATTCTATCAGGTCAAAAGGAGGCTCTCCCTGCAGGATCCAGTCACTGAGGTACTTCCCTACTCCGCCAGCATGGATTATGCCGTATCTTTCAAATACAGAGATAGATATCTTGTTACTAACACATGCTGTTTGAAAACGACGAAACATGTCCAAATGTTGTCAGGGCCTCAAAGTCGGAGTGATTTGTGCTATTCAGAATGCAAAGGAAACACAGTTTTATGCTCTACATTTTTCCTCATAATAAATGAGTGCATGCCGAGACATTCAAATTAAGTGTGCCTGACTTGATAGTGAGTTTGTTTCCACTTACCTACAACTTCTAGCTAGTAAGGATGCTCACTAAGTAAGAGGTGATGGGGCTGGGAGAGGGGGAAGGGAAGCAAATAGGCCAATGTGGTTGGTGCTAACCAGCCCTCTTGAGCTGTGACTATCCTGACTGATAGGAAACTGTGGGAGAAATGCGTGCCCCATCCATCGCTTCTCAGATTCAATTTAGTTCTGACTCCCTTAGGTGCTGGCCTCTGTGCAAGGAACTTGGACTACTATCTCAGAATCATTCAGACATACAGGGACTCACTGGGGACTTGTGAGGAGGTGGTGGAAAGGAATGATGGCCCCTGTATTTTGCAACTAATGGGATGCTTGGTGGGGAAGGTCAGCTTGTTTCGTATCTCCATAAGAAGATGCTTTAAAACCATGAATATGGTTGTGTTTTGGTATCAGAATGGAGAGATCACAGGTTTACCTAGACCATGCACATTTCTGCAAATTCACTCTTGTCTAATGAAGGCTTTCTCTATGAGTTAATCAGTGACACAGTTTTGAGGAATTGACTAGTCCAGGAGTCACATGGCAAGGGGAGCAGGGGGAAGAAAGAACCAAGAAAAGGAACCACATGAGTAGACATTAAGATGCAAGAACCCAGACAGGTATGGTGACTGTGCCTGTAATCCCAGCTACTCAGGAGGCAGAGATAGGAGGATCATGCTTTGAAACTGCCCAGGCAAAAGCTTCAAGCCCTATCTGCAAAACAAATTAGAGGCAAAGGGACTGGAGGTGTGACAAAAATGGTAGAGAAAAAAAAAGAAAGAAAGAAAGAAAAGAAATTAAACAACAAAAACTAACACAAGACCTCTAGTCCCTAAAAGTAGTGACTTAAAAGGTAGAACCACACGTCTAAGAGTGTGGGTAGAACTAGCAGAGTGGACATGTTGACTTTCCTCACAATGAGAAACCAATTTTGCTATGTTAGAAAAATGAATGCCTAAGGTTGTTATAATGCTCTTTATGAAGGGAATGAAAGGACAGAGATTTACACTTCTCTGGGTAGTGTACCACTAGGCCTGGCACAGAGTTGCAGTCATTAAATATTAGTTGAGCAACTGGCCAAATAAAATGGAGAAAAAATAGAATAATAGAAGCAGTGATATGATAGCAAAGTGAGTTTGACATCAATATTCACCAAATTAATGGGACAAATATTAGAAATGATATATCAGAGAGACAAGGGAATCATAACTAGGAAGAAACCCAAGCAAGAATAAAGAAGTAAGTCATGGTGGACAAACACGAATTACAGTGAAAACGTGTCAGATACAGGGCACATTTGATATTTTGAATTATCTTTGTCATATTTGGTTATGAAAACATCCTTATAAAACTGGAGCAAATTGACCTATCTGATGATAACAGCATGAAAGGATACAAATAATAGAAATGGCAGGAAATATACAAAAAGAAAGTTTCAGGAAATGATTGCCTTTCTGTGTGCTAATCTTCAAAATCTATGGAGGGATTAGATCATTACATAGTCGGTGATTTAAAATTGATATTTTTATAACTTGTATCATTCCTTCATATGCAAAGAAAAAAATCTGCCTCTTACGACCCACTCTCATCCTCTCCTGGATTTTCCTTTTGTGGCCTGAAATTATGGGACTACATTTAGGTAACATAAATGCTTCTATAATCAATGTTAAATTGCATGGAGAAACTCACCCAAAGCCGATAGCTACCCAGTAGTTTCTAACCCCCTGATGGGGCCCCACCATGGGCAAGATGTCAGGAGAATAGGTGATAGGACCATTGACGATGTTTATGATGTCAGCCTTTTTCAAGACTGGAACCATTTCCATGGCAGCTTCAACATGGTCCATGATTCGGTCCAGGTCAGACTCGAAGAGTTCCTTTCCAAAGCCTGGAAAGATAGGCCCCTATGGTCAGGATGCTACAGGTGCACTGACAAGCGCTCAGTAATTTAAATCTGAAGCAGCCCAGTTTAGAGATGCCTGTTAGAAAGCTACTCCAATCTCTTCCCTTCCCCTCACCCTCCTTTTCTTTTTAAGTCTAAACTTGACATTCACTATTCATATATGGATAACCATTATATTACTGAGAGCAATAGTGCTATTATTCTTGAAACAAAATCACCCTTTTAATTAATATAAATTTAAATTTCTGTATGTTGTTTCTAATATTTTAACAAATCACAATTTAAAAGAGAAAACCAGTAATTTGGTTTGTCTAGAGAGTTTTTTTAATCCTTCAATTAACAATAAAGGCCTGTTTTATCCCACTTCCCCCAACCTTGCCCCAGACTAGGACAAATAGGATTGTACAGGGTCATGTCAGGACTCTGGGCAAATTGGATCCCTGCTCCAGGATCTAGGATGAGAGATTTTGGATCCTTTGAACTCTCCTTTCTGCAGGAGGCCTCCTTCTTCTATCCTGCTCCCACGTGCATCCGTGGGCTAGAGTTCTGTGAAAACAATGGTCTTGGAGGACAATCATCTTCTCCTAAAAGTCACTGTGATTGAAAGCAAGGCCACAGAGAACATCCCAAGGAATGCCTCTGCCCATTCTGGTGATTTTCCCACATCGTATCCAGCCAGCTTCTCCCGCTTTTCTTGGGACTGCAAGTATAGGGAGAAGCATGGAGGCCTCAGCTACCCAGAGTGCACTGGGACTCATGGTACCCACACCTAGGGACAGCTCAAAAACGAGCTCTCCCGCCAACTGAGATTATTTCAGTATTTGGAAGACAGGTTGCTGGCATGGGGCGTGGTGGAGAGTGAGGCTCCTGGAGACAGCTCAGCCCTCACTCTGGGGTCAGGAGTGATTCTGCTCAGCTCCAACTGCACACAGCCCACTCAGTGAAACCAAAGCGCTCCCAGCATCTGCAATACTGGGTTAGTGGTCATGTCCCGTTACATAGGACATGACAAAGCAAAATTCTCTGAGGCACAATTTCCCCTACTTCTTTATGTTACTCATAATATTTCAGTGTCCCAATGACATTTTAGCTCCCTTTAAGATTAAAACCAGAGGTGTCTCCTCAGGCAACCCAATTCTTAATCTGGCTCTGTGGGAATATTTCAATAAAAAGAGAGAGAGAGAGAGAGAAACAAACTGACCCATTTCCTTACAGAACTTGAAAGAAACTATAGCCCCATGTGCTCCAGCATTCGGCCCCAAGCCTTTTCCACTTATGTCACATGGGAAGGTCTCATTTATAGACCAACCTGTCCTACTCTGTCAGACTCCTGGGCTTCCTTCTTTGTAGGATGGCTGTCCTGTTTTTGATACCTGTTATGGATGGACCAACTATGAAAACACAAGAGCAGCTGTATTCAAATCTTGAAACTTGACCTAGCAGATAGTGGATCAGGGAAAAGTGGGAAGGCAGAAGAAAATTGGTGTGGACAAGTGAAAATGCACCTGGAGCCTTTCAGAGCGGTTGCAACAGGTTTCTTCAGCTTCTCCACCAACCGCATCGTCTCTCTTTCCCCTCGCTCTCTGCTGATTGTTCAAAGGCATCTGAGAGCAGAGTCACCTTGAGCCCTTCACCTACTGTCCCAGGCACCTGACATTGTAGTAGTGTGGCCTTGTCTTAATCTTTAGCAGACCCCCAGCCATGGAGAGGATGAACCCCATGTGTCTGACCTGAACCCACCTGGAGGGACTCCACTGGTGACCCAGGAGTCCTGAACTTTCATTTTTTCCTGGCTCTCATATGGACCAAACAAAAGTCCATCCCTTTCCTGTCGCAGGTAATAGGATCCTTCGAGGTCCCGGAGCACAGGGAGTTCTCGTTTCAAAGCTTTCACTTCAGGTATGGTGGATGTAATGACATATTGATGCTGAACAGGGATGAGAGGATGTTCTAATCCGATCATTTTACCTACTTCTCGAGCCCAAAATCCTTAAGTAGAAGAAATCATTTTAAAATGTCACCGCTTATATAAACATACCTGATAGGACAGTGATATGGCAATGTATACCAAAAACATTTAGATTGGAGTATTCGTGTGTTGATACACAAATGTCTAAAGAATGTCATAACAATCTTTACTCCTTTTTGCTTTTTTTTTAAGTGCTGAGAATTGAACCCAGGGTCTCAAATATGCTAGGCAAAGGCTCTATCACCAATCTATCCCCACCTTAAATTTTTTATCATTGTAAAATTGAATGGGGGAATGACAAGATAAGACAATACTTTACATTGCTCAGTGTTTTGATATTGCAATCTAAGGGAGTTCTGTTCCTGAAAAAGCATTTTTCCCCTAATTAAAGATGAATAGAAAAAAATTTATTTGAATAAACCCCACTTGTAGACAGGTAAAGGAAGAGGCTATTGTGTTGAGGAGAAAAAAGAAAAGAAAAACAACAGCAGGAACAAAAACAAAACAAACAAAAACCAAGGTGTGAAGAGCAGCCACTGCAAAGGGAAGATTGGGTTCCTCAGTAGGTGAGCAGGTCCCAAAACAAAGTTTACTCGTTTCACATCATTTTCCAAACACAGAACTAGGTCATTTGTGGCTGAAGGACCCTGGATTCTTTCTCAGGCTGACTTTTCAGTATGTAGATGTGGTAGCCAGTGTCCAGGGAGGTTAAGACATGCCCAAAGTCACTCTGGGGGATCCGATAATCTTCATATTTTACTGGTTTTCATGCTTCAGAAAGACTTTATTTTAAAAACCCAAGACACTTTTACTGGTATAAAAGTATTTCAGGATATAAAATGTTAAAAAAAATGATTATTATTTGGCAGGGGCATGATGTTCCCTGACCCATCAATGGATTCTTTTTTTGGGAGGGTGTTCTGTTTGCTTGTTTGTTTCATAGTAACTGAGTAATCATACAAAGGATTAGAGAGTCCTATTTAAGGTTCTGCTTTACAGGTTGTACTCTTTAAATTTTCAATAATTTCTGTTTCTTCTCTTCTCCTTTTCCTTCTCTTCAACCTCTACTTCTTCCTCTTCCTCCTTCATCTTTTTGAAATCTAATAAGGAGTTCTGAGGTCTCTTTCATTATTAGGAGGCTCAGAGCTAAACACAGACTCATTTATGAGTCAGTCTGTAAAGCCAGGTTACGTTCTCTTATGAGCCAAAGTTTCTTTCTGTTTAACTATCTAAATCCTACCCCTGTATCCTGTTTTCTTTTGGCCTAATGGCTAAGTTAGTCATAATCTGGAGTTGTACAGCTACCCCAGAAATGGCTGCCCATTTGTGAACTCGAAATACAATCTTTAATAATTTGAGACTTAATTTATTCTTGCTATAGGAAGATATGAATTACCTGTGTCAGGACTTTGTAGGAAAATATAATAAAGCCCATATTCTAGTTATATATGGTACAGCAATTTTTAAATATAAAACAGTCAAAATATTTAGCCTAGCAATTCAAACTACTGCAATGTCCTCAATCTACTTGTTCCAATTAAAAACATAAAGAAAATTTACTCTGTCCTGTTCCAACATATTTATGAATTTCTGAGTCTAATTGCTTGCTTATTAATGCACTTCATCATTAAAATAAAGTAGAAATGTATGCATAAGTCTCATATAATTACATTACTTCAAATACCATAGCAACTCTGTACTGTTTTACCCTTTGATGTTGGTGTTTGAGGCATTCTCTCCCTCTAGATGTTATTAAATTAGCCTAAATCTAACCAAGATTGTACTTCAACCCCTGCTATATCATACACCCACCAAGTTCAGAGGAAAGAGTCAAGCATGAAAGAATCTACCATTAACACATAGAAAGCAACTGAAGAACCAATAGAAATGACCTTCATTTAAAAAAAACAGTAATTAATAAAAATGAGGTTAAAATGAAGGGCGAAGTTTCATGAACAAGTTCACTTCTACAGAGGCTTTATACACAGACAATGATGGTTTCATTCTTTGATGCAGAGTTAACAGGCAAAATTAATACATTCCTTTTGGCTGAACACTAGGCTTCATGTTACCACAATCCAGTCACATTTCTGATTTACCATATTAGGAAAATTCTTAAGTAAATCTTACAAAGTTATCTACATCTGATGGGTCAACTGGATGGGTCAAGAGAAACCATCATGAGGCAGAGAAAAGGTTTGCATCATAACAAATAACACCTTGCCACATCCTCATGATGCACCTGAGGGAAAAGTAGAAAGAAGGTAGAATGAAGCCAATTTTGAAAGCAGTGGGGACTAAGAGCAAGTTAGACTATTTACACCAAGAGGCTGGAGGCATCAAAGCCTTCCTCAGCTCTACTTGCTCAAGAACATGGTCATGGCATTCTACTGTCTAGTGGTCAAGGGATATTTTCAAATCATCTATATCGGCAGCTGGGGATGTGGCTAGCTCAGCAGTAGAGCACTTGTTTAACATGTGTAAGGCCCTGGGTTCCATCCCCAGGATTGAAAAAAAAAAAAAAACAAGGAAGAGGAGGAAAAGAAGAAAGAGAAGGAAAGAAAAAAAGAAAATACAGTTTCTAAGCCCCCACCTAGATCACTTTTACTAGCAGAATGGGTGCTAATCAATGACTGATATGACTGCACTCCTTTCAGGTGCCCTTGCACAAAGCCCCACCACTTTTCAAAACACAGCTCTTCAGGATGTCAAGCCTTCTCAATGGGTATTTTGGGAAAGAAACTAGCAGATCTTAATTTAACACATTTATCCTCTGTCTCCTACGATGAATGCACTTTTATTTACATAATAATTTGCCATGGTAATAAATGCATTGTGAGGATTATGAAGTCTGTGAGGAGAGGAGAGAAGAGGAGAGGAGAGGGGAGGAGAAGGGAGAGGAGGGGAAGGGAGAGGAGAGGAGACACATCAGCAAACAGACATGTTTTCACTCTTACACTTTCCTTCTTGTGGGCATCCTGAAGAGTCAGCAGTCCTTACATGGTTCACAATTTGTTTATATTTCCAAGTTTATATCCTGGCTACTTTAATTAAATTTCCAAGGCAACCTAAGAACCTTGCCTGATTTTGTGAGGCATCCTGGTCTCCCTGAGTAGCTCTGGGAAACATTCCAGCTGCTACATTCTCAAGTCATTTATATGATCTTCATTAGCTTCAACTCTAGAAGGAGGCAGGTCCAAACTTTTACCCCCACTTACTGAGGCCTGCCCTATGAGGAGCGACTGTACTTTAGATAAGGTTTCTTTGAAAACTGACTTAGAAATAAACACACATACATCTGTGAACTACCAATATGGTCATAGATTTTCTGTAGTAACTTTTGCACAGTGGAAGAGATGGAAGAGAAAAAGAAAAAAAAAAGATTATGGGGTGGAGATCTGGTGTGAATGAGATAAAGAATTGAGAACTGAGGCAGGACAGCTCACACAACTTTTAGCAGGATGCTGCCTGGAGTTACCAGGGAGAGGGAGAAAGGGGTGGAGGAGGGCGGGGCAAGTCTGGAACAAGGGATGAAGGGAAGCAGCCACTCCGCAAAGGCTATGCTATCCACCTAATTCCAGGGATTCTTTTTTCCAAAGCCAGCAAGGGGCAGCCATTCTGGAGGACCTCCTGTCATTGCTGTCCCCACCCCTCCAACCCACAGGGCTTCACAGCTGTGTAGAAAGCTCCATCCGGTGACCAGTTCCCAGGTTTAGGTCAGACCTCTTTGGAGCTCTTCCTTCTTCCTCCTCACAGATTCCATAGTCCTCACAGTGCATTTATTACCATGGCAAATTATTATGTAAATAAAAGCGCGTTCATCGTAGGAGACAGAGGATAAATGTGTTAAACTAAGATCTGCTAGTTTCTTTCCCAAAATACCCATTGAGAAGGCTTGACTTCCTGAAGAGCTGTGTTTTGAAAAGTGGTGGGGCTTTGTGCAAGGGGTACAGTCACATCAGCCATCCATTAGCCATGTCTGCACAGGCACTGGCCGTGGCGTTCTCAGTATGCTTGCTTAGTATTTGCTGTCGTCAAGAAAGTGCCAAGTGTTTTAAGGAGCTAAGAACATGAGACCATAAAAAACCTGCAAATTTACAAAGAATCCTTGCTACTTGGGGAAAAAAGTGAATTATTTTAATGTCTTAGATCTTCCAATTTATTTATTTGGCAGTAGTAGGGTTTGAACTCAAGGCCTTGTGCTTGCTCTTTTATCAGAATTTAGATCAGACTCTCCCAGGGACAAAGAAAGAGAGGTGTACCAGGTAGATAAAGGGGCAAAGAAAGCCATTTTATTCTATTGCTTTTATTTTTAGGGACATTTTACATTATTTTTATTTTTTATTTATTTATTTTTCTGTATTCATTTTTTTCCATATGTGAACACATTGTTTGGGTCATTTTGCATTATTTTGAATTTCAAATTATATTAAAGAAAGAATGAGATTTTCATGCATGGGTAAGAAAGATTCAGAAATACTAATTTAGAATCTTAAATAATGAAGGCAAGGCTTTTATTCTAGGCTCACTAATTTTTTTTTTTTTTTTTTGCTAAAAGATAGCATCAGTCAGAAGTTACAACTTAGATGACAGAATCAGAAGGGCACCTGTCTTTGGTATGTCTTTGTGGCCTGTCATTTGATTTAATGAATAATGAAGATTATTTTCATTTTATCATTTAAACACTGGCTCAAGGAAAATCAGTTACTGCCTCATGGTTATTTTAGATTTTAAGGAACTATTATGCACTGTAGGAAAGTATAAACTCTTAAATCCAGCATAGCTTGCACAAAATAGATTCAATGGAACCTATTTTTGCCTGTGTGATAGTTGAAAATGACTTCACATACAACTGACCTGTTAGAAAGTATATCGAAAGTGTATCAGCTCAAGAATCAAAAGACCCAGTCCTAGCTCTGACAAAACTAGCTATGTCACTTAGCCAAGGACCCTGACCCTGCTGGACACTGCCTTCTACAAGTGGAAAATGAGGAAGTCGTCAGCTCACCACTGATATCTTCGGGCTCCATTATTCTATGAGCTGTAAGTGTTACTCTAAACTGTAAGTGAACTGCCTAGAGAAAAGGTAATGAAACATGTTTGATAATGTTCTCAAAGGAGAAGGATCAAAAGGTTTGACTAGAGTCAAAAGTAATCAGAAATGGATGAGAGAGGGCAGAAATGATTAAATCTGCCCTCCAAAGCCAATTGAGAACAAAGAGGGTGCTCAGAAACAGTAGAACTTGGTTATTGGTGGAGGTAGCGAACATAGAAAGGAAAAAGAAGCCTCATTTCACAAAACACAATCTGGAAGAGAAGAAAATAGAGAATGGAAAAAAAAGTACAAACTGTGTGTGGATAACCCAGGAGTGAGTGGTACTTCACTCACCCCAGGCAAAGTCATGGTCAGCAGTCTTGGTGGCCTTACAGCAAACATGAAAGCATCATTCAGCTGTGTAACAATGTTCATCCTATAACCATCGCTTTGTGGCTAAATATTTATTTTTTTTGCACTTTAAAAACACTAGCTTAAAAAAAAAAAGATACGAGGCTTACCTGCAGCATTCACAATTCTGTTTGCTCTCACGGATCCCTGTGGAGTTTCCACATCCCATGTCCCATCTGGTCTGGGATTTAAAGCAGTTACTGGTGCAGGATACTTTAAAAGGGCACCATATTTCCTAGCCCCAGCAGCTAGGGCCATCGTTAGAGAATAAGGATCAATGTGACCATCTCCAGGATTATACAGTCCGGCTAAAATCTAAATTAATCAGTAAAAAGTCACTATTCAAATAAATATATGCTTGCTACTCAGCCTAAGTATATCCTGCCAGCAAATGTTTGAGAAAAGTGGACTTTAAAAGTGCATCTTTTGGGGGCTGAGCATGGTGGTATGTGCTTGTAATCCCAGATGCTCAGGAGACAGTGGTAGGACAATCATAGTTTCAGGCCAGCCCTGGCAAAGCTAGTGCAAGACTTTATCTGAAAAACTAAAAGCCAAAGAACTGGCGGTATTGCTCAAGTGGTAGAGTGCTTGCCTTGCAAGTGTGAGGCCCTGAGTTCAGTTCCCAGTACCCAGCTAGGGAAGATCTCTTGGCGGTAGACTGATCAATCTGCCTGTCTTTTTCCTAAATCCTGCTCAGAGACAGGCAGGATTCAGAGTTAATTATGCAGGCTTATTTGACAGAGGATTGCAATTGTCTCTAACATGCTTCCTCCATTCGTCCCATAGCATTGACTCTCAAATGTCTATTTGGACACATGGCCACCAGGAACAAAGGGTACAGTTTCCAACCTTCCTGGGAGCTCCTAGTTCTAGCTGAGAGCTAAAGTTATTACTAAGTTCTGGCTGGTGGAAATACAAATGAAAGTGACATATATAATGGTTTCTGCAAATCATCTTAAAAAGATACCTGGTACATTCCCTTCTTTGTCCTACTCCATCTTGCTGGATGCAATGCAGACACAATGGCTGGAGCTCTAGTTGTCATCTGGGAATAATACTAGAGCCACACCCCAAGAATGATGGAGCAATGATCTGGAAGGTGATTAGGTGCCCTGAACCCTTCATGAAAAAGAGTCACCACTCAAGTGTTGGATGTTTACGTGAAAGAAAAACAGACTTCTATGGTGTTTGAGCATTATTATTTTGGCTTCTGATACTTAAAGCCAAATCTAATCTAATTGGCATGTCAGTCATGATTTATATTTAATTGCTTAATACTGTTAATAGATTCACATATATATCTGCTATCATGAAAATTTATACTTTGTGTTAGGGCTTCAACTTAGGTACTATACAGAAAACAAAGAAGAATGAAAGTTGCTGAAATGAGTGATAGAGATGAAATATTATAATTTGATCTTATCTATTCAACAGAAATCTGCTTAGCATCAAATATGAACAAGGAGCTTTTGTGAAATGCTTTTCTGCATCTGTTGAAATGATCATGTGGGTTTGTCCTTTATCTTATTACTGTGGTGTTACCACACTGATTGGTTTTCAGATGTTAAAATAACCTTGTGTTCCTGGGATAAATTTTCTTGGTCATACCTTTTGGTATGTTGCTAAACTTGGTCTCAGTGTTTTTGTGAAGATTTTTGCATCTGTATTCCTAAGAAACAGGAATACTTGGCTGGACGTTCTTACATCACAGATTTTTCTCAAGAAAATCTCAAGATTTTTCTTTCTTTCCTTGTGATGTCTTTGGTTTTAATATTAGGGCAGGCAATGCTGGTTTCATAGAATGTTCACTTCTAATTTTGGAAGACTTTGTGAAGGATTAGTACTAATTCTTCAGATGTCTGGGAGGATTCACCAGTGAAGCCATCTGGGCCTTCTCTTCATGGGAAGTTTTCCTTTTTTTTTTTTTTTAAATGTATATTAATTGTACAAAATAACGGGCTTTACTGTGACATTTTCACACACATACACACACACACACACACACACACATCACCATCATCATCATCTACTTTGATCATATTCACCCTGTGGGAAGTTTCTGACTACAAATTCAGTCCTTTTACTCCATAGGTCCAGTGCAAGAACCCTGATGTTCATGGGATTCACACTCCTGCACACTTCTGAATGTCACACTGGCTTTTTATAACGGCTGTGTCCTCTCTGTAGTGGTTGCATATATTTAATTTGGCACCCTGCCCCAGATCAGAGAATATCTTGGACATGTGTTCCACTGCCTAACACCCTTGAGAATCCGTGATGTGAGAACATCCAGCCAAGTATTCCAGTATGGATCTTTAATGAGGTATACCCATGTCCTCACCAGGAGTGAGGTAGAGCTTCACAGAAAATGCAGTGTGCAACCCCGATCTACTAACACATTGCTGTCACACAGAATGACAGACAAGGGAGTGTCTGAAACCTGTATAGACCTACAGAGAAAACAACCGCCCCGCACCTTCCCTGCACCCACAGCAATGACACAAACCGTGGAAGGGCAGAATATTGCAGGATTCATCAGCAGGGAAGCATAAACATCCGCTTCCCTTAACAGCCCCTTGGGACATCAACACAGTGCCAATGCAGTCAGAGGGCCGGGGTTCAAATCCTTGCTCCAGCTCTAACAAATGACTTGGATACACAATGTAAACTGTCTAAACTTCAGTTCTTGTTGAGTATTAACAGTTACCTTGTAATACTATTGTGAAGAGTAAATGAATTATGTCTGTAAAAGGCTTAGCATGGTTCCAAATACATAAAAATGTGTTGTAGTGTTAGTCGATATTGTTATTCAAAAAGGATGATCACCCAGCAGTGAAAAAACCAGTAAATTCCTTGTCAAGTGGATTCCCTCACACCTGGCACAGAGTCAATAAGGGAAGTACGGCTATGAGCTGGGTGAGATTTACTGACTTCTTAAGTGAATTTCCTAAAAAATATAATAACTGCTTCTCTGAAATATCAGATCATAGTTCTTTCTAAAGTTCTCAAACAGGTTTGTGGATGGTAACCCTTTGATCTGGGGAAAACAGTTATAGAAAGTCATGGAAAACGTTTTGTCAGTTGTCATCGGTAGAAAAGCAGTAAGAATTTTTATTACCTTATATTTCGTTTAGCATACATGGCAGCCCACCTTGTAATTTACCCCAAATCCAGCATTCATCATATAATTTTGCAGTCGGAAATATGTGCCCAAGGTTGGGGGCATGGCTCAAATGGTAGAGCACCTGGCTAGCAAGAATGAGACCCTAAATTCACACCCCAGTATCACCCCTCCAAAAATGTGTATATATATATAATATATATATGTGCACAGAGTGTTTCTATTTTTTATTTGCTTCTCAAGACAACTTTTTCCCAATTTTTCAGCCAATGGTGAAAATGCCCTTCAGATAGATACCTTATTCATGTTGAGTAAAGGGAACAGCTCTTGGATCTTTTCAGGTTCAATTATATACTGTTCTGTTGCGTGCCAGCCAGTCCGAGTCATTTGATACTTAAATTCATCCACCCTTACAGGAGTTGTAGCAATTCTGATACTACCTGGCTGATGGAATCCTACCATCTGTGACAATAATTCCAATAAAAGCACACAAATAAATGTTAGTTGGCATAAAACATAGCTCCTGGGCAACATAAAAGTATATAAGAAAGTAAATTTACTATGCAGTGAATAAAGTATTGGTATCTCATGAAAAGACATTCATTGAGCAGCTACTCACTAAATGCTCCTCTGTGCCAGGCTATTCTAAACCCCAGAGATATTGGGGTGAACAAGAGAAGGAAGACCCTGCCTCAAGGGAGCTAAGTGAACAGATGAGGACAAGATGGCTACGTGCATCGTTACAACAGTCTGGGACCAGTCTTAGTGTGCAGACTGAAAGAACAGTATGTGAAACAGAGAAAGACAAAGGATTTAAGGAGGATTAGGAAGAATCAAAATGATTAATTGTGAGCTGAATTAAACATTCATTTGACATTTCTTGAAGTCCTTCTGTTTGCCAAGCTTCAGCAAGGGTCCGGGTTACAGAGATAAAAGATCCAGTCCTGTCCCCCCAGTTGCTTATAATCTGCAGGGAAAACCAAGCACAAAGCAAGCAACCATTACAACAGAGAGATTTGTGCCATAAGAAGGGTGTGTGCAAACGCTCTTAGAGCTGAGAGATGTGCCACCCAGCTTAGGGGGGCAGGCGGAATGTTGCTTCAGACCAAGATGCAACAGGGAAAAACAGAAACACCACAAATAAAGTAGTGGTGATTTGAAAGAGCTCAGCACATTCCAGAAGTAAACATAGGATATGAGCAGAGGGTTAAGTGACAGGAGAAAAGTTTGGAGAGGCAGGTGGGGGTCAACTGATGGAGGTCATGCTCCCAGGCCATGTTAAGCTGGTGACCGTCATCCTGTAGATTGTGAGGTGCCAGTGATGGTTTTCAGCAAGGAGAACAGCATGAAAATTTAATGTAGTCTTTGAGCTTAGCCTCTGGAAGCTCTTTGCCTGCCATTTTATTTTGAGAGTACAAGTTAGTATGAGAAGATATAAAAATCAAAGTGGGGGGCTTTGAGTGAAGTACTTTCCAAGGCTGTGTGAAAATCTGGCACACACCATTGTCAGATGCTTTGTAATCCAACTGCTTAAAGGCTCCAAATTTTTAGTTTCTAGATATAGCAACTGGCTAAAGATAGTTCTGGAAGCTGCTTTTTATCCATTTCTTCACTTCACAAAGCAAAAATGGTTAATTACATGGATAAGACTCTTTAAGAAATGTAGGTTGATTTAAAAGCAAACTCAAACTGAAGCCTCTAATCTAAACTATTCAGGAGATGATGATCGGGAGGATCGAGGTTCCAGGTCAGCCTAGGCAAAAAGGTCCAAAGACCCCAGCTCGACCAACAGCTAGGTGTGGCAGAATTCACCTGTCATCCAGCTACTTGAGAAGAGTAAATAGGAGGATTGAGGTGCAGGCTGGCCTGGGCATAAAGTGAGACTCCATCCCAAAAATAAGTAAAGCAAAAAGGGCTGGCAGAGTGGCTCATGAAATAGAGCACCAGCCCAGCAAGTGCAAGACACTAAGTTCAAAATCCCAGTACTGCCAAAAAAAAGAGCAAACTTTAGACGTTGTTACCCTAAGCTTCTGCCTTACTCTAGCACAGTAAACACTGCACATGTCATCAATGTCACAACACCCAATCGTTCATGATGGTATATCAATCCTTTAGGAAACCTTATCTGTTTCTGAGACACTGACCCAACAGACAATTTCAAGTTAAATGAATTTACCTGTCCAGTTTCTTCTTCCAGTTTCTCATAAAGTTTGATGCTATAATAATGTATTTTCTTCAAGTTTATTCCAGGATGAAAGTAAGTCGTTAAGCCTGCCTTAAAAATGGGGAAGAAAGGAAATACTGAAAAAAATCAACATTCTCAAAATGTTAGTAGTTTATCTGCTAAGTAGTAGTTTAGTTTTGTTCAGACTGTTAAATGCCAGCCAGTCCTCAAAGGTGAGAACACAGGCCATGTGAGTCACCTTTAGCCACAAGTACAGTGAAAGCCAGCCATCAGATATGTGCCTGAATGGCCTAAAAGTTACTAGGAAAAGTGTTGTTTGGAGACTCAAAAATGGGATAGTTAAATAGATTTAGGAATATTTGTTACAGTTGAACATCCTTTATCGGAAATGCTTGAGACCAGAAATGTATTGACTAATGGATAGGGAGAGGGGTTTGGGAAATTTGCATACAAATAATAAGATACCTTGGAAATAGGACCCAAGACTATCCAAAAAGAAATTTATTTATCTCTCATCTATTCCTCATAGACATAGCCAGAAGGTAATTTTATACAATATTTTAAATAATTTTGTGCATAAAACAAAACTTGTATACACAGAATCATTAAAGGCCAGGTATGGAGTTTTGCACTTGAAGTGTCATGTTTGTGCTCCAAAGTTTTGAATTTTGAAGCATTTTGGTTCTCAGATTTTTGGATTAGTGATGTTCATCTTGTATTAGGAAAGACAGCATACAACATGGACTCAAGTCAGCCAGCCATGCTGTGTTCCCATAAGCAGAAGGACCATGGACTAGCAAAGGGTTTCTTTGACCCAATCCCCATCTTTCCCTCAAATGGAGCAACCCTTTTCTGAAACTGAAAATTTCAAGAGTTAGAGAATTCCTGGTAATTGAGCCTCATTGCATAGGTAAATGGACTTTCATAGATGCTGAACCTGTTCCATGAGCATGGAGGTGGCACCCCACAAATATTGGTTAAATAAATATGGAGTAATTACTCTCTGGAAAAGATCTCTAAATATTAGCTATGCCAAACTTGTCTTTTTTTTTTTTTTAATCAGCTCTAGCAAATGCAATGTAGTATACAGACAAAGAATTCTAGGCAATTATATGAAGCAAGTTCTCTTAATTAACTATCTTGGGCCTCATTTTACAGCTGATTTATCTTGGAGAGCTCATCAGAACACAATCTGTTGAAAATAAAATGTATTTGGGAATATTTATAAGGTTTTTCTACAGTAGTGGTGGACATTTGGTTCTCTGAAACACAAAATAATCCCATTAAAATTTGCCAATCATCATTTATTGAATAGAATCCTGGGGCTTCTATCTAGTGCTTGTTCAAGCAGCTTGATGTAAGCACATCTAAGTTTTCACACACACAAAAAAAATCCTAACCCAGCTCCTGGGTAATCCTGTAGCACAGCTGCAGGTGAGAGCAGAGAAGCCTCCATTGCAATAAACTGCAAGTCAGGCTTTCCGAGCTCATGGCCAAACGACCCCTTCCCCTTTCACGTGTTTGATATTCAGTGTGCATATGAACATTTCTGCATCAATAATAGAGAATCCCTGGCCTTCCAGACCCCAATTTTGTCTTCAATGTATCTCCTGTCTGTGGAGGAAATGGTTATTCACAAGTACTGGTGTAGGGTCCTTTCTGATAGAAGCCACGTGCCTGGGTGAAGCCAGGCCATCACAAAGTACTGTTATCTATCTACACTTACCTACACTATTCATCCTCCTCTTCCACTCCAGACATTAGGACCTAATGATCTTTCATCTGAAAGGATCACAGATTCATTTTTGTAAAACTGTAAAAATTGTACTTTTCATTCAAGCCCAATGTACTTTGTTTAGGGAACAAATTCCTTTAGAAATTCATGGTCAAGGAAAAGTTATTCTCCCTTATTGAAATAGTGTAACTATCTCTACTGAAATGATTCATGCCTCTCTCCCTTTGTTGCTGCAAGGACAGTCAGAAGAAAGGTATGGTATGGATGTCATTTTTGTAGTCAGACATAAAATTATTTTTTGTATTCTCTCTTTTATAAGTTGGCTTTTGTCTTTTAATATGTGCTTACGATTTGGAGTTACCTATTCAGTGCTTCTGCTGTGTTTAAATTATTTGAATAGTCTTGCAAAGTACTTATTGTTGATGTAAGTGACAGTTTTGTGATATTTGGATATGTGGAGGGCACAATGTTTTTCTCTTCTGTGTCTTCAACACAGGTATATTAAATACATTAGGGAGGGAGAAAATATTGGTCTTATCCTTCAGTACTTTACAGTCTGACTGAGGTCACAGACTTTCACACATGAGACAATCAAATCAAGGGCACATGATTAAGACAGACCACACAGTGAGGGACATTAAGAAATAGGAGAACTAAGGGAAGAAACCATGCTGGGAGGGTCACAGGAGTCTCCAATAGGAAGGGGGCTTAGCTTTGATCTGAAGAAAGAAAATGATTGTACTTGGTGGAAAAGCTAAAGAAGGAAGATGAAACACAGATATGATCATTAAGAAGTACAACCCTTTGAGAGTAAGTAATGTGGGAGTAGGGAGTAGTCTGATTAAAGTACAATACGTACAAGTCTGAAATACCAAGATGAAAGCCCCTTGAACTATCAACATACAATTTAAAAAACTGAAGGACAGGAAGGTAAGACAGGTCCTTTCTGGGGATGGATACCAGTGTGTGCGGGGGGAAGGCATAAGGAGAGAGTGAAGGAGAACGAAAATGGTGGATGATATTTTTATATTTGTTATGAAAATAGAGTAATGAAGCCTGTTGAAATTTACTAGGGGTGGGAGAGGGAATGAGGGAGAATGATGGAGGGGTGAATTTAATTAAGATATATTGTAAGCTCATATGTAAATGTCAAATGAATCCTCCCTGTACAACTATTACATGCTAATTTTAAAAAGAAAAAGAAAAAACCCTTGAACTTAGTGTTGTGGCATGCACCTGTAGTCCCAGCACTTGGGAGACTGAGGTAGAGGGATTATTTGAGCCCAGGAGCTTCCAGCCAGCCTAGGCAACATGGTAAGACCCCATCTCAATAATAATAATAAAAACAAAATAGAGAAGGATTATAACCCTTTAAGAATTTATGTTAACATACATAAAATAGATAAGAAGTAAAAGTTCTTCCTTATAGTAGGCTGGCAGTTACCAAGAATTACAGGAATGATGGAGTTCAAGAAATCACCAAAGGGCACTAAATTGTGGGTAGCATAATGGATTCCAACTCATGATGATCTCCCTAAGTCTTTCATATCCTTTTCCTCTTTCAGGAGCTTCTACTACCTCCAAAGTCCAGCAAGTGACCTAAACCCACCCCATATCCCAGTGGCTCCAAATCTTTTATTCATACACCTACACACAATAAAAACTTTTGAGAATAACCACTAAAATGTGCATACTTCTTTATTTACACGATATGCAAATATGGATTGCTGTATTAATAGAGAACATAAAACACACAAAACAACTTGGAATCAGTGAAATATTTTAAATAATTTTCATCTTATTTATTATGTACATAACCTTTTGAATATTAAACTTATTAATCATGTTTTTGTGAGAGCTATCTGATTCATTATTAAACTTCATTATTAAACGATGTATAATGGGTTAACAGTTGCAATCCAGCAGTGTGATGGCCTGATTCTAGGTTTACTTTATTTGAGGCTGGTTTTAATGGCTGATCCTTCTCAATGGTACATGGACCCAAGTGGGAGCAGTGCTCTCAGTCTTGAAACCCCTTTCTCCATCCCAGTCAAAACCTATAGAAAGATTTCTGTTGACATTTGACTATAATCTCTTGTCCATCAGTGTTTGTTACAAACAAATTGGAAGGTATTATGATTTTTGTGTTTTAAATAAATGGGGTGTGTGGGGTGGGGGTGGAACTTGGTGCAGTAGGTCCTATAACTTCAGCTACTCAAGAGGTGGAGATCCGGAGGACAATAGTTTGAGGCCAGCCCAGTCAAAAAAGTTAGTGAGACCCCATCTCAACAAATAAACCAAGCATAGTAGGTCACATCTGTCATCCCAGGTACATGGAGACTCATGTAAAAGGACTGTATGCCAGGCTGGCCCAGGCAAAAATACAAGACCCTATCTAAAGCACCCAGTACTTCAAAAAAAAGAAAAAAAATGAATAAGGACAGATCCCACTAAACCCATCATTCAGAGAAGTTTTAAATGGGTTAAAAATGTATCTTGTGCACATAGGTGATACATATAATTTTGGCCAAAAAAATCTAGTAAGTCTTAAAAAAATTGTTTTAATTTAAAAAGTTAAAAATTTTTTTTAAAAATCTAGTAATAATATCAACATTTCCAAACATCCCTTTCAACAAGTTCTTTTTCCAGCAGTACTGTTTTGCAAAAAGCAGTTATTTTCCTCTTATTGAAAGCATACCTTTTACCTTAAAGGAACGGACTGCATTTATTTTTTAACATACACACACATACATATATGTTATATATGTATGCATTACTACCAAGATCAGTGAATTTGGGGCACTTGTCTTTCTGTAAAGGAAAAACTTATCTCCATGTTCCACAACTGTTTTAATTATCATCAAAAGACAACCAACTAGCCTCAGCACAATACTCTCAAGTTTTCCTCCTCTCCCTTCCATTACAAATTGTATTACTCAGGCCCTGTCTCTGTACAACTGCTCACAAAATGTCAGCCAGTAGCACCTGGTCTACACCAGGTCATGATGCACTGGAGGCATCAGAATGAGGAAGCTCCCATCTCAGAGCGCCTCCCTCTGGTCGACCTTGGAATCACCCACACAAATGGGAGGGTTCATTAGAAATATTACGAGTTTCACTTCTTTCTTATATTGTAGGTAAGCAAGTGCAAGTTCTAATATTATCTTCCTACACTCCAGATGGATCATATCACCTCTTTAGTCCTTGGTCTCCAAAACCTCCACTTTGGCTCCATCCCCGGGGCAGCTCTCCTTGGGGGAATCCCATGCTTCTCACTCTATCGCCTCCCCTTTTTCTCCACCCCACATAAAATGTTCTATATTATTAATTCTGTTGCTTGCTGACAAAGCTGTCTTGTTAAAATATAGCAAAACCTCAGGATGTATGGACTCGTGACTCCATTTTGAATGTTCACCCCCTTCCTGTACTTTCTAGACACTTTTATCATTGAAAGCATATTCTGCTTGAGCGAGACTGCCTTTATCTTCATAGTCAGCCCTTTTAGCTGGCTCCCCTGACCTTCCATATTCTCCTATCTGCACCGCCCCCCCCCCCACCAATTTCTCTGTGTTAAAATTTTCTAGTAGATGAGATTTTCTTCCTGTGGCTACTTAGAGGCAGGCCTCCCTGACTTGCAAAAATTCCAAAATCAGCTTCCTAGGACAACTCTTTTGCTTTCCTTTATTCCAAGGGGGACAAATAACTTGGCTTCTGATACCTGATTCCACCTGGAGAGTACACTGCGCAAATGCTCATTACGTAAGCCACAGCGTATACCTTGTCTACAAAGCAACACCAGGCCTTTGCCCGCTAGCTTTGGGATCCCCTTCCTAAGGCAAAATTATTTTGCATGGAGAACTTTGAACAAGAAACTGTCACCTAATATCTTTGTCTACTTTTCTTAAAAGAGCTTACATTAAGGGCAGGCTGCTTTTGACTCATGGGACATCTAAGAAGTAAGATCCCAGGGAATCCTGGAATGCATTCTAAAACACAGGCCACATGAAGTCAGTATGTAAATGAGCAAATAAGTCATTTTGACATTAAAGTGTGCGCCACCCTTAACAATGTGGATGTGGTGAGGCGTCAGCCCTCCCTCTCAGGATCTGTTGCCCTAAATGCTCTTACCTGGATAACTGCCATCCTGCTCACTGCTTCCTGGTCTCTGCTAGTCTTACCTCTTGGAAAAAGCCTTCCTAGCTGGCCCCCATCATTCTGCACCCCTTTCCCTGTTTCTCTTTTCCGTATGGCCGGATCTGGCTCTAATACTGCTGTGTGTTGTCTGTCTGTCCCACAGCATATGAGGAAGCAAGGACTGTGTTTTGTTTCCTGCTGCATCCTCACCTGGATCAGTCATGGCCTGACACAACAGAGGCCCTCAGAAATCTTGCTTGAGTGGGTGACCAAGTGCACACTAAGGGAAAGGTACAGGAGGGCCATAGAGAAAGGCAGGCTTGCTTTTAGGACAACATGAAGCTTGCATAGGAAATCTAGTTGGAGGTGGGGAGGCAGGTGTGCTGCCCCTCTCTGTCTCAGAGAAAACAAACTGGGCAAGACCTAGTAAAAGGACACTCTGAGACTGTGCCTGGGATTTGGTGCCTCAGCCTCCCTCTCAGACTGGGGGATGAGGAGCTTGGGAAGGAGAAGAACTGGGCTTGTGATTTTTCCAGGAGCTTAGGGCAGACCACAGCCTGTGGGCTGACAGTGCGACCACTGGACTTAGGCCAAAGGGATTAAGTCTGGGCAGCACTCCCCCTAGATTCGGCCACAGGCACCACACTCTGAGCAGGTGCTGAACACGAAAAAGCCCCTCAAAGCAGGGCTTCTCTTGCCTCCTGCTCTCAGAGAGGAATGCTAATTAGGAAAGGGATGAAGGGCTGAGGCTAACAGTACCCAAGTCTTCCCTCAAAAGAAAATTGCACCAGCAATCTGTCATCCTTAGCTGATCACGGAAACAAATGGTTTGGCAACACAAGAGCCCTGTCCATCCAGTGCCTTTACCTGGGCAGCATTTCAGTCAAGCCCAGTGACCATGCAGTGGCACCAGGACAACTCTGTAGACCACGAAGCATGCAGGATTGACTGGGCCTGGTGTCCTACCTCACACAAAGGGTGTAGCACAATTCATAGTCCTCCTTTTTAAGCCTTTATGAGGTCACATTGTGGTGTCACAGCACAAAATTAACATCATAAGTAAATCGAACCACCACCAAATGAGGTGAGGGGATATCAAGAAAGCCCTGGGTACATTCTCACAATATCCCAGCCACCGTCTGCAACACAAAACACACTTACCATGTGTTTAATAACACTAAGCATGTTAACTTAGTCTTCTGCACAACCTACCATTAGAATATTAACCCTATTAATATTCCCATTATCTCCACCAGAAAATGAAAACTAAAGTAACTCACTGGAAGTCACATGGTAGAAAATGGCAAAGCCAGGATTTGAATCCAGAAGCCATGTGTTCAAGATAAAAAACACTTTCTAGATAAATATTGACCACTGCCCGACATACATGAGCCAAACAACAAATTGCCCTCTCCAGCTCTGAGGAGAGGAAACTCACTCTTCAGAGCTCCCCGCGGGAAGGTGCAAATGGGAAGGAAGGGGGCCGCACTGTACCCAGCTGGGGCACAGGACAGGTTGGGGGTGGGGCTTTCCTTACTGCGTGCCAGGTAGATCCAGCCGTGAGCTCAGACTTCTCCAGCAGGACCACGTCTTTCATGCCTGCTTTGGCCAGGTGATAAGCCAGACTCACTCCCACACAGCCACCTCCGATTACCACTGTTTCCGCTGTGTCTTTCCATTTTGCTTCTGTGGATGAAGGCAGCTTTTCCTCCCTGAGGAGGAAAAAGTCATAACTTTGGTAGCTCTAATAATTTTGGTCTGACTACTGTGAGTGGCCTCCCCATTTCTCTAATACTTAACACCTAGTGTGGCCTCCCCATTTCTCTAATACTTAACACCTAGTGACTACGATTTGTGTTTTATAGTCTTGGGGCATCTGAACCCTGAGTAGGCCACATGGTTGGTAAGGGAGAAGGTGTCTTTGGGCCCCATTTCATATAGCGACTCTGGTACCTACAATAGCTAAAAAAAAAAAAAAATATGGACAGATAGTCTTCTTCTTTGAAGAATCTAGAGAATAGTTTCCATTATGTAAAACAACATTTGTAATCATTTTATTCCATGAAGAACCAAAGTCATCCTGAAGGTGAGCACCTGTAAGCCTCGGCTCTCTTACCCAGGCTGAGAGACAGAGGGAGGAGCGTGCTGGCCTGCTGAAGTCCCCTCACCTGCACACTCTCCCATCATGACTGCTCAGGGGTTAACATGCACACCTGCATGACTGTCTTCCTAGCTGGACTGGGAACTAGGGAATCAGCCATGTTTGTCACCAAGCCTCAGCCCCTGCACACTGCCCACATTGATATGAGTCAAGTGAGTGCATTTGGTAATTGTCATGGTTCACTGTGCACCCTGTACCACACTTTGCAGAGATGAGTACCCAAAAGAACACAGCTCTAGTAGAGGCAGCGTTCATTAAGGTAGGAGGATTTGTTAATTATTGCCAGAGGTTGTCCTTTTTTTCTTTTTTTGTGGTACTGGGATTTGAGCTCAAGGCCTAGTGCTTGCTAAGCAGGTGCTGTACCACTTGGACCATGCCCCTCATCCTTTCTTGCTGCGTGTCTCATATTTTTGCCCCAGCCTGTCTTGAACTGCAATCCTCCTATCTCTATCTCCCAAGTAGCTGGGACCATAAGAATGAGCCACTGCACCCAGTTTATTTGTTGAGATGGGGTCTCGTGAACTTTTTGCCCCAGATGTTCTGAAATAGCTGGGATTGCAGGTGTGAATCACCATCCCTTGCCCAGATTATACTTTTGACACTTATATTTCTTCCATTCCTTCATTCAATGATTCATCCATTCATTCTTTCCTTATTCATTCACCAAGCATTTCCTGGGTTCTTTCCTGGATGGGGGCTGCACTGCAGAGCAAGGATGAACCAGACAGACAGGGCCTCCACTCCGGATGCTTACCACACAGTGGGGGAGGGGAAGTTAAGCAAATAACACGAAGGTGGAAATTACAGCGAAACAAGTGGCTGTGCAGGAGGAATACAGGACTGCGTGGAGTACAAAGCGGAGGGCTGTGGTTTGAGGGCTGAATGATGAGGAAGAATTATTCTTTGTTCCTGAGGAACGAAGAATATTCCAGGCGATGTGAATGGTCACCTGACAGGTTGGCACTGGAGAGTCCAGGGTTTCTTAAGGCCATGGTGGCAGGGTCCATTAGAGGCCCCGGCATGTCCCTTGGCTGTGTTATGGTCTTTGTGGCTCATCGCTATATGGTAAGCACATAAAACAACAGACACTCAACAAATGCTGTTCATGTTAGTGAGTAACATGCACCTCTCAAAGTCACCGGTCCCTTACATTCATTTCTCAGAGATTCACAGCATGAATTACTGAAACTCAGAAGTGTGAGGTCACATCCAGTGTAAGGACGGAGCAGGAGTGGGAACTTGGTGGCTACTGTATGTCCAGCACCAGGGACAAGCCTAGCCCATCACAGACAGGAAGTACTTGCTGGGAGGATGGATGGATGGATGGATGGAACTCAGAAGCAGGTGTGTTGATTCCAGAATTTTAGGTCACAGGATGCAAATTAAAATTGCATCAGGCGATGGTACTGTGGAGTGGTGTGGGGAGCAGAAGCCTTACCTTGCAGTCATGAATGAGCCCCGAGCACAAGAAAGTCAAAAGTTGCTCGGTGTGGCTCCATCTAAATACAGACCAGTGAAGTGAGAGGAGCGGGGGAGGGAAGGGATCCACATTAAAAAGAAGTAAAATTATCTTCAGTTGGAGATATTGTTAGCTCATATATTAAATATCCCAAATAATCTAGCAAAAAATTATGAGAAGTAATAAACTAACTGAGAAATATTCCAGGTACACAAAAGCAATTTCATTTATTCCCATGTACTGGAAATATAACATCAAAAATGAAATTGCAGAAACATTTTCACTCACACTATCTCCAAAAAGAATAAACTACTTAGGGATAAATTTCACAAAACGAATATAAAATATAAAATATAAAAATATAAAATAAAATAATATAATATAAATATATAATTATATATTTTATATATTTTATATAAAATAAAATAATATATATTTAATAAAATATATAAAAATATAAAATATAAAAGCGTTCCCACACTTGCCAGCTTTTAGAGGATTTACTCCTATGTTTCCATGTTTCAAATGTACAGAACCCTTTTTCTAGCAATTTCACTTTAAAAAATTGATTCTATAGATGAACTCCCAGATGTGACCAAAGATATATGTATAAGAATTTTCTTGTGCACCCTATTTGCAATAAATCTACAACTGGAAACAGCCTAAACGTTGAAGAATGTACTGCTTAGTTACATTGTAGAATAGTTGGGGGGTGGAAAACTATGCAACTGTTAAAAAGCATAAGGGAAATCAGCATATGCTGATATGGAAGACATACTGATGATTCTGACAACACAAATCGCAAGGAAGTCAAAGAACTCACAACCACCTGCGTTTGCCTACACACAGACCATTTCTTTTTTTTTTTCTTTTGGCTTATAATGCTTTTCTTAACTTGACATATTTTCAGATAGCTAACTACAAAGAATTTGTATATATGTACTTTCTTTACATACACACACAATATGTATACATACACACATACGCATGTGTACATGTTTGATGTATATGGTACTTGCCCAAGAAATGTTTGTTTCCATGTATAAGTGGGCCATTCTATAACGTGAAGAATGGAATAGAGATTGTATTTCCAAAACTGTAGAACACTTAACTTCTTAGCTGGGGACTAAGGACTCAGAAAAGGGCTTAGTAAGAGGTACATTTGTCATGAACATGGAATAGAGCAGACAGACCATTTCTTGATGGATACAGAAGACACTAACCACCGCTGCTGGCTGCCCAAGGGGATGGGGGCAGGGGAGACTGCGCCTGGGGAACTTTGATATGTTTCACTTTGTACCCAACCGGTAATTCAGGGCGATCTCCCACGGCCGTTTCTCCGGGACCTGCGTCAGGCCCTGGCTCCCTCCCCCGCGGCCACCGCGGCCACCGCGGGCCCCACTCACCCTTCCCGGCCGCGGACGGAGCGCGGGAGCCCGGGGGATCCCCGCAGCCCGCGGCTCCACAGCCGCTGCGCGCCCGGACGGAGCATGGCGAGGCCGAGCGGGCCTGGCGGGCACCTGCTGCGACGCGAGGCGGCGACCTGGTCCTCCCCCGGCGAGGGGCGGGCCCTGGACACGGAGAGCGGACCTGGCCCGCACTATAGCCGCACGATGGCACCAGCCGGAGGTCTCGGGGCCAGGAAGGTAAGTTTCCTTCCTTCTGTCCTTCCTCTCCTGCCGCTGGGCTCCGCGTGACTCAAGTTCAAATCCACCTGCGCCCCTCACCAAAACCTGGGGCCTTAGCAAGCCACAGGTCTGGACGGCTCTGAGCCTCAGTTTACCCAATCGCGAGTTGACCAACATTTCTGGAGTCCTCAGTCCGTGCCAGGCACTGAGCAGAGTACTTTGCACAAAGGACCTCTTCGTTTTCCCAATTATCTCCTTTTTCCAGGTTAGGAAACAGGCTCAGAGAGTCAGGCGACCAGTTCAAGGTCACCCATCTAATTGAGGATGGAGCGGAATTTGACGTCTAGGTTTTGAATTCAGGGGACGCACATTTTCCTCCCGTAATGGACCCGAGCCCACTGGTCTTTGGGGTCACTGCCCAAGCTCCCTCCGAAGCTTCCCACACCTTTTGGTTAAATTTTGGTTAAAGCAGCAAGCAGGCTTGAACCTGCGAGAGTCTCTGGCTGGCCTAAAACCAGTTCTGCGCAAGGACACAGCCCGGGTGTGCGGGGTAAGGGTGGGCGGGAGGAATGCGGGTCCCTCTCGGCCTCCTGCATCAAACAGTCCCCCCTGGACCCTTTCCCAATGTTGGGAATAAGTAAGTGTGGGGTGGAACTTGGAGGAGGGTGTCCCAGGACCCCTCACCGCAAAGCAATCTTCCTGAGCCCCGTAGTCCAGAATGGGGAGGACAGGACGGTATAGGCATGGAAATGCGAGCCAATGATTCATTAATATTAAAAAGTTGGGGACAGTCAAGATCCCCTACAACAGGGGACTTTCTAAATAAAGAAGGGTTCAGTCACTTACGTTATTAGGCATGCAGCTGAGTCTGAGAACGACCTCAGTGCTCTGTCAATGTCGGTGCAAAAAGACATCATGGAGGACCCCAACTGTATTAAGGTGTTCTGTACACACCTGAAGGAAGCTATAATCAAATACTGAGAATTGTCACACAAGATGTGGAAAATGGGTCTTCAAAACAAAGCATGTTTTGGGATATGTTCTAATTATAAAAGCAAAAAATGTGGGATGTGTAGGAAATAAGGATAGTAAAAAGGTAAAAAAAAAGTGAAGAACGGTGGGCCAACTTCTTTCATTCAACTTTCTCTAGTGCTATGTTTATTTTTATAGTTCATGTTTTTAATAAAAAGGGTCCCTTCTTCTTCTTCTTTTTTAAAAGAGAAGCCCCTGTTGAGTACTTTTATTTTGCCATACATAGCAAGATTGCCACATGCTAGTTCATGTGTACACAGTACACAATGATAATGTGTGCACAGGAGCCCAGGTGCTCCTGGGGAAGAACAAATCTCCTCTCTCCTCAGCTAAGAGGTACACATTAGGAAGACATTTAATTGCTACAGACAACACCTTCAATAAGTTCTTTAAACCAAAAGAGCAGGTCCTGAGGGGACTGCAGCAGAGGGGGATATTTTTAGCAGACTTAGCCTTCTGGCCCATGTACTGGGACAGCGTGGACTTGTTCTCCTTTAAGGGTGAACTCATTCTCCTTCAAGGGTGAACAGACTTGCCCCGAAGCCAAAACTTAAATCTGGAGATATTTTGTGTTGCTATCTGCACAAAGTGGGTTTAAATGAACCCCAGAGCTCATGATCAGATCCAAGGCAGGTTCACTACCAAACCAAAGCAAATGTTGGAGTGAAAATATAAATGCACTGTAAATTAATTCACAGTGCTCTTGGTTATACATGTTTCTGACCTTGTCACTCTGAAGATGTCCTTGGAACACACTGCTGTAGTAATTAACAAAGGAAGGAGGGGCTAAAGGGGACTCAGAATTCAAATCCTGATAATTGAGTTATTTTGCTAATGGCTATGAAGAAAAATGGCAAATTTTAAATGTTGGATAAACATCCAGATGAGAGCTAAAAATGTCTTTGTACTCAGTATCATGAAGAAACAATCAAAATATGAACTACAATTTTCCTAAACCCCTAGCTAATTTTCTATTAAGGTGTGGCTGATTTTTTCCTCCTCAGGATGAATTCTAGCATGTTTGACACATGTGACATTTTCAAATCTCTCCTGTCTCTCTGCTAAAACAGTTGGCACAATGTATTAAGGGTCTGCTCTTTACTAGGTGTGAGAAGAGGTGGTAGGGACACAGAGAAATAAGATATGTCCCCTGTCCCCACACTTCCTACCACAAAATGAAGCAACAGGTAAGTAACCAGATACTGCTGTACAGGTGTAGGGACGAAAGATACCAAAGTTAGGCAGGGTGCAAATGAGAGTGGGTCAGGCAAGACTTTGCTCCAGCAGCAATGATAGATGATTTAGGGGGGCCTCGAGTTGGTATCAGACCATTTCAATAACCCAATGACTGTGACAATGAGGAGTGAATATGAGAAATGCTTAACAGATATACTTGTAACTGTGACCGATGGGAGGTGAGAAGTATGACACTAATCTATACTGTTTTCCCCCCTCTAGGATTGTTTGGTGAGCGGTATTAAACTTGATCTTCACTTGGTTAACATAAATCACAGGTTTTTTTTCTTACCTAAGAAGAAGTCTACAGGTGTCAAAGATACGATTAAGAAACGAGGCTCCTGTTACCACTTGGCTCTACCAATCTTAGCATGTAGTTTTTTAATGGCATGGTTACAAAGTGACTATAAGATGACTTCTGTACTACAGGCATTATATTGACATTCTGGTCAGGAAGAAGAAAAGGAACAAGATGGAAGGGAGCAGGCATCCACATCAGGAAAGCAATATTTTCCCAGAACTCCTCAGCCAGCTTCCACCTGTGTGTCATTGGCCAGTGCTGTATCACAGGCCACTCCCAGCTGCAAGGTTGCTTGGGAGTTTTCTTTTTAACTTGAGCACATTGTCTCAAGTTAAAATTCATTAGCAAAGAGAAAGAATGCATTAGTAGTCCATTAGCAGGATCACCACAAACCAAAATAACTACCAGCACTTCCACATAAATTGGTGCCAAGTAAATGTTAATTGAGGGAAAAAAAAAAAAGTAGTTACAGCCCTTAGCACAAAATAGGCACCTGGGTTGGGCAAGCAAGATAGTGTGCCCAATCTTTCTGCAACACAATTAGACACAATGTTAACAACTGGAGTTCTAAGAACACAATACCACCTTCCCTAAAATTAGAAACTGCTTTAAAGAAAAAAGAGTGGGGATGTGTGGGGAGAACTTAGGTGGCTTTTCTCTGTGTTTTTCAGGGCATTTTGGAGCGTCTGGATGCTGGGGAGGTTGTGGTTGGGGATGGCAGCTTTCTCATCACTCTGGAAAAGAGAGGCTACGTGAAGGCAGGGCTCTGGACTCCAGAGGCTGTGATAGAGCATCCAAGCGCAGGTGGGTGTCCTCATCACCACAGGGTGCATGTCTCCATGACATTTTGCTTAAGTCTAATTGAGAGAAAATCAAGAAACAACAGTGCATGTTTCTGAGGACTGTTTCACTTGCAGAGTTGCCAACTTGGGAAAACAGTGGCAATATGTGGGCTGAAGCACACAGAAGAAAACAACCTCTCTCCTTCTCTCCTCTCTCTCCCTGTTCTCCCTGCTCTCTCTCACTCTCTCTCTCCCTCCCCCCCTTCTCCCCCCACCTTCTCTCTCTCACACACAACCCACACGCACAATGGCATCTTCTTGCATAAGCAGTACCAAAATATACATTTTAGTGTTTGTCCCATTAATATGTACCTTGTAGATATTCAGGCATCTCCTTAAAATAGCAAAACTTGTCCCTACTTTGGATTCATCCTGCTGACTGATGTGCACACCCTATTATAACAGTGGGTATTGTAACAATGATTAATGGCTGTCACCCACTTAACGGAGCACAGAGTCACATTCTAGGGATGAGAGAGCAAAGAAATGAAGTTTTACATCATCTTCTTGGCTGGAGGGAAAAAGTTGGAGGAAGGAACTGTGACAGGATTGGTTGTAACATCAAATTGGAACTTTAACTCTATTCTGACTCTTTTTTTGTGCTCCATTTTCTAAATTAAAGTGGGAAAAGAAAGCCAAAGAATGAAATGAGAGAAACAGAACGCAAGCTGGGAATGCAGCTTTTGAGTCTCTCTGGTTTTATTTATAGCTCCACAGTGTATCAGACAAACCTGGGATTCTGTCTTGGTTCTTCCTCAGAACATCTGTATGGCCTTAGATGAGTCCCTTGACCTCCCCAGGAGTCCATTTCTTCATCTGTCACATGGGGGCAGGACATGGGCTAGTTTTGAGGACTGATGAGTTAATTCATGAGAACTGCCCAGGATGTCATTGGCATCCAACGGCCATAACCAGTTTTGCCAGAAACCAGAGTTCTGTGGAAGAACTCTGGTGTTTCCTAGAGGTTTTTGTCTGACCCAAGAAGCACTTGTTCCTAATTTTGGCAGCTCTTTTGACTAAATCAGAAGAAATGTTGAAGAAGCAAGGATAAGAGTATGGAGTGGAGGTGAGGGTGAGGAAGAGAAACAAATCGGTCATTTTCTGAGAGGCCCAGGCCAGAGTTCACACTACTTTCCAAGTTGCTTTGTGCTTGCTGGTGACTGCCTGCTGTTGTGCCGCACACATGCCTTTTGCTCTCTGGGAGAGTTCCCTCACTCTTGCTTTGGGCTGCCAATGCTAAGAATAACAAACCAGTGACATCATTCACAACAATGGTGCATGAATAAACCTCTGCAGACCAAGGGACCAAGGGACACACCTCTGTGTGTGGCTCACCAGGCCCCAAGGCCTGTCATCAGGACAGTGGAGAGCTGCTCTGAACAGTCCATCTGTCCTGGAATTCTACTATCTTAATCTGCACCTTTTTATCAGTGCTAGGTTTGGAACTGGGTCTGACTGAGATAGGAGCAAATGAGCTTCTGTGGTGGCTAAAGATGAGAGCTTCTGTAATTTTTATTTTTAATTTCAATTTTAAACACTCCAACTACTTTGCAGTTCGCCAGCTTCACATGGAATTCTTGAGAGCGGGTGCAAATGTCATGCAGACTTTCACCTTTTCTGCCAGTGAGGACAATATGGAGAGCAAGGTAAACTCTAACCAGGAGACAAGGGGAGGGAGCACCATTATCTTTTATAACCAGAACCTCCTCACAGGAAGATGTGGAATCAACTGATGTGTCACTACATTTTATTACAAAATCCACATGCAATACTGATGCATTCATTACTACATAAACATAGTCACTAGATGAAGGAGCTCTTCCTGCCTCTTTAGGTAGAAGAGGTTGTCAGCAATGGACAGAAAAGGCCGCTAGGAAGGCAGGGCCATCCTTCCGTGTTTTGTGGAGAAGGACCACTTTGTAGACCCTCGTTTAACATACTCTTTGCTGCCTGGTCTGCTTGGAGACACAGAGGCCATGAAGAACACAGCACTAGAAATGAGGAAAACTGCATTTGGTGTCCAACCTTGCCACCTATTGGCTGTGTGACTTTACGCAAGACACTCCCTGCATGAGCAATGACTTTGTCTCTGCAAAAATGGAGTGACAATAGTGCTTTTGTCCACATACCTGTTGAGAAGAGTAGGCGAGATGAAGGGTGTGGAAGTATTGGAAATGTTGTGCAAATGTTAAGCATTAACCTTCGTAACTGTTGGTGTTCATTCGTTCATGGGACATGCCTATATTTAATGAGTAGCAGTTGATGTCACATTATAGTCCATGGGGTTTCGTTATGGCCCATTCTCTACATTAGACACAAGATGACACAAAAGCATAGGTACTGTTCTATGAGGCCCATGGTTAAGTGTGGGAGGTGAACAAATATACAGTTATTAAAATGCAAAAAAAGTTATTAAAACAGTGTGGGAAGTACAATAATGGAAATCTAGATTCTTTTTGGTGGTACTGGGGTTTGAATTCAGGGACTCAAGCTTGCAACGCAAGTACTCTATCAGTTGAGCCACACTTCAGCCCAACAATGATGGAAACACACTGGTAACACAGGAGATAGTGCTCCACTGCTGGCTTTCTCACCATTGCAGTTTAAACAGGTGACTTATTCCGATCTACTTGCTCATGGTGTCCTTTGCTACCTATCATAGTTTATATTTAAAATGTCAGCTCACTGTCTAAACTCTTGCTCTCTGACCTCAGTGGGAAGATGTAAATGCTGCTGCCTGTGACCTTGCCAGGGAAGTGGCTGTCAAAGGAGATGCTTTGGTGGCAGGAGGGATCTGCCAGACGTCAATATATAAATACCACAAGGATGAAGCTAGAATTAAAAAACTCTTCCGACTACAGCTAGAGGTGTTTGCCAGGGAAAACGTGGACTTTCTTATTGCAGAGGTAAGTGTGGTGTTAGAGGAAAAAGATTAAACCTATTATGACAAGTACACTTACACTCTTCAGCTCTCATTAGGGTACCGACTGCAGTATGCCTTCATCTTCTCCACGTGGACAGTCAAAGCTTTGTTTAGATGCATTGCCGATCAGGCCAGTTGTCCTATTTGCTTGCTAGATTCTCTGGGAGGCCAAGGGGCAAACCCCGAGACAGGCCTGAGCAGAGTTTTTGGTTTTCAATGGTCCAGGTGATTGCAGAGGCTGACTCAGGGGCCCATAAAGCTGGGGTGAGAGGAAGGGGACAGTGGCTCAGGAAGCATTCTCTTCCAAGGGAGAGGCCTAGCTGGAAGGTGCTCTGTACGGGGGCTGGAGATGCAGAGATGGCACTATCTAGGAGGCAGGTGGCTGCCCAGGCTCATCCAGGCCCCACCAATATAATAATGCCCAGTGCTGAATGCCTTCTCTTCTCCCCAGGACTTGCTCACTCTGCCTGTCTGCTTTCCCACAATCTGTAACATAAATGACATTTCAAAGAAAGAATCAGTAAGAATTGGTGAAGACTTTTTTGTTGCTATGACAAATATCTGAGAAAAGCACCTTAAGAGAGGAAAGATTTATTTTGACTCACAGTTTTGAAGGGTTCAGTCCATGGTCAGCTGGTTCTATTGTTTCTGGGCCTGTGGTGAGGCAGCACATCATGGTGGAAGAGTGTGGTAAAGCAGAGCTGCTCACCTCAGGCAGCCAGGAAGCAGGCAGCCAGGGTCAAGACACCCTTCAAAGGCCCGGCCCCAGGGACCTACTTCCTCCAGCCAGGCCTTCTCTCCCACCACCTCCCAATAATGCCATCAAATTATGAATCCATCAATGGATTAAGCCATTGATGAAGTCAGAGCCTTTATGATCCAGTCGCATCTCAACAATTGGATCCACCAGCTGGGACCAAGTACTCAACACATAAGCCTTTAAGATCACTTCTCTAAACCATAACAATTGGACATGATGACACAGAACATTCTCTTTCCTCTATCTCCCCTGAAGAAAGCTTATATCCCCCACTTGTCCATTTCCCAACACAACTGGTACTGCCTGAGCTCAAGCCCTCAACCCAGGACTTTGGATATGAAAGTAGCCTCCTGCTGCTGTCTCCCTCAGCCACTCCACTCACTCTGGCGCATATCTTGTCTCAGTAACCCTCCCGAGGCCCAGTGGTTCCCATGCCTTGCTGAGCCATGGGAAGCGCCATCTGCAGAGACCACACAAGTGGTCCAAGATGGTCCCCAGATGGTAGGACATAGCTTGGCTGGTTTAAGACCCTCTCTTTTGATTCTTTCTGCCTTTCCTCACACACTGCTTCTGTAGAATTTTTAAGTCACCAGTGAAGAGACAGGGAGATTTCTATTGGCTTTTCTTCAGTCACCTCAAGTCATCTTTTTGATTGTGGCACTGAAGGCTATTGTTGGAAAACACCCTTGGCACTGACATGGGTTCACCAGACAAGATGTCCTGGCTACCATTGGCAAGGACACTGTGTAGCTATGGCTACTTCTCTGTGCATCAGTTTTCTTGTCTGGGGAAAAAACTCCTATTTCCTTCCTGCTTTATGACTTTCTAACTTTATGAATATCTAACTACAAGTGATAAGCACTTTGAAGTATAATAATGCATATAAACTATTTTTTTTTTAGAAATTACCCCAGTTCCATAAAAGATCATCCTCAAATTTATATTTATTTTTTTTTTTTTTTTGTGGTACTGGGGTTTGAACTCAGGGCCTACACCTTGAGCCACTCCACCAGCCCTTTTTTTGTGAAGGGTTTTTTTGAGATAGGGTCTCCTGAACTATTTGTCCAGGCTGGCTTTGAACTTTCAATCTTCCTGATCTCTGCCTCCTGAGTAGCTAGGATTATAGACGTGAGCTACCAGTGCCCAGCCAAATTTTTTATTTTTAATGCACAGTTATTTAAAAAAACAACTTTTGTGTGGCTATAGCTTTTGTTTTGTTAACAGTCATCATCTTACTGGATGATGATCTGTGAATAAACGTCTATATCTTATGATTGAATGAATGAAAATACTTACTCAGAAGGATATTCTTTAGTCAATCTGTTGAGACACATTCCTTAGCAAGCTTATCACACTTTATATATTTGGGGATTTTTGTAACTGTTTTGCAACATTTGTGTTCTACCATTCTAAATCTACTTTCAATCGGGACCAATAGAAAAAAGTGATATTTCCTTTAGTATTTTGAGCATGTGGAAGAAGCTGTGTGGGCCGTGGAAGTCTTAAAAGAATTTGGGAAGCCTGTGGCAGTGACCATGTGCATAGGCCCGGAGGGGGACATGCACGACGTGACACCCGGAGAGTGTGCTGTGAAGCTGGTGGAGGCAGGTAATGTGGACCCACTGCGGGATAAGCAGCTCATTGTTTATGAAATTTAACAAATTTGCTCACTGTTCTTAAGAGCAATGAGAATAGAAAGGAAATGAAAGAATTAACTGGAATCAGTTTCCTTAAGTGTAGCTCTCAGGATTGCTAATTTCTAAGGTAGCTTTTAACTATTAAAAAAGAATAAACAGACAAAGAAAAAGATGGAAGACTTGTATGTTTCTTTGCCCAGGGGCTGACATCGTTGGCGTGAACTGCCGATTCGGGCCCTGGACCAGCTTGCAGACGATGAAGCTCATGAAGGAGGGCCTCATGGCTGCAGGGTTGCAAGCCCACCTCATGGTGCAGGCCCTAGGCTTCCACACGCCTGACTGTGGCAAAGGAGGCTTTGTGGATCTTCCAGAATATCCCTTTGGTAAGCTCAGGTGTCCAGAGCAGTCTTTGTAGTTCTCATTGTGACAACATTTTGATAGCTATGATAAACTCTGGTTTATCTCAGGTTTACAATGTAAGAATATGTAAGATAATAACATTCAATGTTAGCCAATTGTGTTATCTAAAGAATGCAAAATCTAAATTTCACAGTTTTCTACTCGGAAAAACTGTACATCAGAGCATCTATCGTTTGAAAATGGGGATGCCCAGTATGGTGGTACACATCTGTAATCCCAGCACTCAGGAGGCTGAGGAGGGAGGATTGAGAATTCAAAGCCAGTGTGGGCTACAGAGTAAAACCCAGGTGAAAAAAAAGAAAGGTAACAAAAATACCATAACTATTGTGTTACAGGACTGGAGCCCAGAGTTGCTACCAGATGGGATATTCAAAAATACGCCCGAGAGGCCTACAACCTGGGGGTCAGGTACATTGGCGGGTGCTGTGGATTTGAGCCTTACCACATCAGGGCAATTGCAGAGGAGCTGGCCCCAGAACGGGGGTTTTTGCCACCAGCATCAGAAAAACATGGCAGCTGGGGAAGTGGTTTGGACATGCACACCAAACCCTGGATTAGAGCAAGGTAGGAATTTTTTAAATTAACATTCTTATTATTTTTCTTTAATCTCATTTTATTTATTGCTGTAAACACTATGCATGCACATGAAAATGAAAATTCAAAAAGTATGGAAGTATATAAAATGAAGAGTAAGGTTGCCTCATTCTGACAGTCTTATTTTTTCAGGTATCTTAGTCTGCTCATGCTGCTATGACAAAATGCCATCAACTGGGTGGCTTAAAAACAACAGAATTTTATTTCTCACAGTTGTAAAGGCTGGGAAGTCTAAGAGCCAGGTGACAGCAGAAACATTGTTTGGTGAGGGTCCACTTTCTCATGGATGGGTCCTCCAATGTGGAGGGGGAACCTCTTTCATCAGGACCCAGTCCCATTCATGAGGGTTCTGCCCTCATGCCTAGTAGCCTCCCAAAGACCCCCACTTATGATCACATGGATGATTAGTTTCTAAATTTGGGGAGACACAGAGGTAGGTAGCCTAGTTGTCATTTGTGCTTTGAAGTCTCACACCTGTGTTTCCTGCCATCAATTTTTATTTATTTATTTATTTATTTATTTTTATTTTTTATTTTATTCATATGTACATACAATGTTTGGGTCATTTCTCCCCCTTCCCCCCACCCCCTCCCTTAACCACCCTACCTCCTCCCTCTCCTCCCCACCCCCTCGCTTCCAGGCAGAAACTATTTTGCCCTTATCTCTAATTTTGTTGTAGAGAGAGTATAAGCAATAATAGGAAGGAACAAGGGTTTTTGCTGGTTGAGATAAGGATAGCTATACAGGGAATTGACTCACATTGATTTCCTGTGCGTGGGTGTTACCTTCTAGGTTAATTCTTTTTGATCTAACCTTTTCTCTAGTACCTGTTCCCCTTTTCCTATTGGCCTCAGTTGCTTTTAAGGTATCTGCTTTAGTTTCTCTGCGTTAAGGGCAACAAATGCTAGCTAATTTTTTAGGTGTCTTACCTATCCTCACCCCTCCCTTCTGTGCTCTCACTTTATCATGTGATCAAAGTCCAATCCCCTTGTGTTTGCCCTTGATCTAATGTCCACATATGAGGGAGAACATATGATTTTTGGTCTTTTGGGCCAGGCTAACCTCACTCAGAATGATGTTCTCCAATTCCATCCATTTACCAGCGAATGATCACATTTCGTTCTTCTTCATGGCTGCATAAAATTCCATTGTGTATAGATACCACATTTTCTTAATCCATTTGTCAGTGGTGGGGCATCTTGGCTGTTTCCATAACTTGGTTATTGTGAATAGTACTGCAATAAACATGGGTGTGCAGGTGCCTCTGGAGTAACCTGTGTCACATTCTTTTGGGTATATCCCCAAGAGTGGTATTGCTGGATCAAATGGTAGATCTATGTTTAGATTTTTAAGTAGCCTCCAAATTTTTTTCCAGAGTGGTTGTACTAGTTTGCATTCCCACCAGCATTGTAAGAGGGTTCCTTTTTCCCCTTGCCATCAATTTTTAGTGGTAATTTCTTACTAATATTCTTTATAAAAGCTGGGGAACTTAAACCACATAACCATCCCCCCTTCCCTTGCTCTGCTTTCCCCAATTTTGATTCATTACATTTTAATTTCTTCTCTTAGATATCTTTTTAAGTTAAAATTATTTATTTAACCATTTGTTTCTTTCTTTCTTTTTTTGATGGTACTGGGGCTCAAACTCAAGGCCTTGCCCTTGCTAGGCAGACCTTCTACCACCTGAGCCACACCTCATCCTCATATTTTAATTGACACAAAGATTATATATGTATATGGGATACCTTGTGATGTTTCCATTCATGTATACATTGTAAAGACTCAAGTCATGGTAAGCATGTCTTGATATTATCATAATGATAATAATGATAATAATGATAAATAAAATCATATTTATCATTTCTTTCTTTCTCTCTCTCTTTCTCTTTTTTTTTTTGGCAGTACTGAGATTCAAACTCAGGGCCTTGTGCTTGATAAGCAGGCACTCTACCACTTCAGCCATATACACAGCACTTTTTTTTTTTCTTTACTTATTTTTTAGGTACAGTCTTGTTTTGGGGCCCAAGATTCTCCTACTTAAAACTTCTCATGTAGCTGGGATGACAGGAGCACTACCATGCCTGGTTTATTGTTTGAGATGGGGGTCTTGCTGTCTTTTTGCGTGGAGTGGCCTTGAACCTTGATTTTCTCCATCTGCACCTCCTGAGTAGCTTGTCTTACAGGCATGAGCCACCGTGCCTGCATTTATTGTTTCTTTGTGGTAAAAACATTCAAAATCCTTTCTTCCAGCTCCTTGGAAATGTACAGTACATTATTGTCCTCTATAGTTACCCTCCTATGTAACTACCTATTTCTTAATCCCTCAATACAAAGTAAAATCTTTTGACTCCATTCTCCATAAATAAGAATTGAGTCTCTTCTGCTTCTCTTCACTTTCCCTCTCTCCTCTAATTCTTGACTTAAGTAATGCCCTTACTTTCTGACATTAAGGTTTATAGCTACTATGTTCTGTTCTGTAACTATAATGAAGCTTTTCCTAGGTTGATTCTACAAATGAAGAACACATACACTCAGAAATCACCTTATTTTTGTTCTCCTCTATTCCTTTAAACCTGCTCACTGGGTAAATACCTTCCTGTGTCCCTGTTTGAAACATCGACCTGCCTCAGGACTTCCCTGGGTTTCCTTAGACAATCCAAAGTTCTAACATCACTTTATTTAGCAGACATGGCCTCAGATTAGTAAGTAAAATTGTTCAGTTCTGGGCTGAGAGTGTAGCTCGGAGCTGGCATGCCTGCCTAACATACACAGGCCCTGGGTCCAATCCTTAGCACACACACAAAAGAAGTGCTCCATGAAAAATCAAAACTCAGAGCATGTTTCAAATTTAATACATCTTTTGTCTGGCAGAAGCCTTGAACAGGCAGGAAGCCAGGAGAGGCTTTCTGCTTCCAACTGGTCCTTCCCGTCCTGCTAAGCTTGGTTTCAGACCTCTTTTGATTCAGAGTGAGAGTAGGCGGTGGGAAGGGGAGGGAGCCTGTGCTTACTTGATTGGCACCCTCAGAGAGGCTGCATCCTGGCAGTGCTTTCATCCTTCTGCAGTCTTCCCAGGAGACTGGTCTCTATTCTCTTGCCACAGGAATTTTCTCAGACTGCTCCTTCCTCCCCAGACTCTGGCTTTTCCAGCAGGCCATTGTCCTTTCTGGCATTCTCTTGTCTAGGCCCAGGCTGTCTCTCTCACAGTCAAAATGGCTTCCCTCTTTGTTTGCACTGACAAATTCTGGGAGTGTGGACTGATCCCAATAGAAGAGCACACTCTTTGCTCTCTTGTACTCTGGATTTTCCATAGTAGTGTCAGGTAAGGCATCTAATGTGTTCTTGGCCACCTACTTGGACACTTTGGTGGAATGTCTATGTTGTGACTCTCTTTGATACTTATTGTCTATCATATCCTTGGTGCCTCTAATAAAACTTCCAGTCCAACACCTTGTTACACAAGTGATTTTCTAAGCATTCACTGAAAGGAAAGTGTTACGCTTGGGACCATGTGCAAGAGGAAAAGTCCAGTTTTACACAACTTGAGCCCTTGGAGGAGGCTGTTCCAAGCATCAAGGTCAAAGGGATTCTCTCCTGTTATACTTCATGTTGTCCAAAGTCATGCCGTATTTCAATTTGCTTCCTGCTTGGACTGACTTTCTGTGTACTTGTACAACATTTGGTTTTCCAGGAATTTCTAATTAACTTCCTTTTTGATTGCTGAAAGAAAAATTACAGGCCTTCACGTTCTCTGAGCTCTTCCAGATTCTAAGTTATACTATTTGTTACAATCACTTTATTATTAAAGAAGCTTTCTTGGGGCTCCCTGAATTACTGTTCTGTTTTGCCTTACTGTCTACCTGATTCATTCATTCATTCTCTTTTCTCTCTCTCTGTTTTATATATAACATAAAAATCTGTCAATGCAATGCCATCTTCTTTCTATTTTCTAGAATAACCTCTGCTGTCTTCTCCTATTTACTCAGTGCTGTTATGTATTTAATCCATTTCCTCTTCTTTATTCATTTCTGTGGGACTTGAAACAAGTCTTTATTTTTAAATGGGAACAGTTTTCCTAATGGACATTTATTTAGGCTGTAGAAGTGGGAAAAAATCATATAGACAACTCTTCTGGGAAAGATGAATATTTCTCAGAGAAGCTGATTTTTTCATGTGTCATATTTAGAAAAATATACTAAATGTAAATATAATTAAAAGGTGAGGGAAGGGTACTTTGGTGATGATTAAATTGGTTTTAATTATCATCTTCTAAGGATCCTTAAATTTAATTAGCCATTAAAATTAAAACATTATATGGTAGACTAAAGCCAGACACTCCTTGCACCCTGAATTCTCAAACCTACTGATGCTCTCAGAAATTTATGATTTCACAGAAACCCATATAAACCAAAGATTTCTGATATTTCATCACCCAAAATATTAATTTCTTCATTGTTTCATAAACAAAGAGGAAAAAATTGTAAACATATATTTAATGCCCTCAAGGTCTGTGTCCAGGAACCTTGTACTCTTCTTTGTCAAGAAACAAGGAACAAACATTGACAGTAATTTGTACTGTTCTTAATTACTTTTTTAAAAAAGAACAATACTTTGTCTCAGTACATTAAAAACTTCATTTACTTTTCATTTCATTAAAATATTGAGTAGAGCTAGAAGGACTCTGCTGGAAATTTCAGAATGAGTGAAATTCATAAAACAACATCCACAATTGAAATGTATTATCTTTTCCTGAAATGAGGTATGAAGCTAATGATTGTTTTGAGGATGGAAATGTGAGAAAGGATCTCAGCGCCTGTGGCTCCCAGCTACATGGGAGGCTGAAATCAGGAGGATTGCAGTTTAAGGCCAGCCCAGCAAAAAAGTTCATGAGAACCCCATCTCAACAGAAAAAATCTGGGTGTGGTGGGGCATGCCTGTCGTCCCAGTGACAGAACAGAAGCCTAAAATTGAAAGGTCCCAGTCCAGGCCACTCTAGGCAAAAAGCAAGAGCCTATCTCCAAAATAACCAGAGGAAAAATGACCTCAAGCAGTATAACACCTGCAAGTGCAAAGCCCTGAGTTCAAATTCCAGTACCACCAAGAACAAATGAAGTGAGAAGATTCCCGTTGTGAATGGATATAGACATCATTTTTCTGTCTGTGCTCATTGCCAGGATTTATGTGCTATACATTATATATGTATCTGCGTATATATTTAAATCTATATGCACACATACACTTACCTATATAACATTTTGGACTTATAAATATGGATCTTTTAATGGATTAATGATACCTGTTTTAACACCCAGGGCTAGAAGAGAATACTGGGAGAATCTGCTGCCAGCTTCAGGCCGACCCCTGTGTCCTTCGCTGTCAAAGCCAGACGTGTAAGGAGTGACAAAGGAAAACACCGAAACTGCAGAACAGAAGAAATGACCCTAAGCCCCTTCCCTGCCACCATCCTCAGCCTGCCTGGCTCCCTAGCTACTGAGCAGCCTGCGTGCTGTAGTCCCTTTAGTTCCAGCCTACTGCACATCCTGCCTCTGCTCAGCTGATGGGAGGACCAGGACACTGCCCAGGGATGCAGTGGAGCAAGATGGGCCCCTTGTCCCCAAGTCCTGCTGTCCAGTAATGCTGCAGGGCACTCTTTGGAAAATCACCAAGAAGAGTCAACTTGTCTTTTGGGGTGAATTTGACATTAAAAATAACCGGAAGTCACTGAGAACCAAACCTAGTGAATGATGCAAGTGTCTGAGCTGGGTGCCTCAGGAAGATGGAGCAATGCTGAAATCAAAAGCAGCGGGTCTGCTTTTCTTCCCTCTTTTTTGGTGGCACTGAGTTTGAGCTTGCCAAGTAGGCACTCTGCCACTTGAGCCATGCTGCCAGCCTGAGTCTGCTTTTCTGAAATGATTTGTATAATGGCTTCAAAGGCAATCCCAGTAGAAAAGATGGAAGACTGTTCTGCGAATGGCGAGGTTACTGAAGTCAGGGCGTTACATTCCAAAGTGATTATGTTCAAAGATGACTTTTTACTTAAAGCTGTTGGGTCCTAGAATCTTTTAAATGGATCTTCATAATCACGAATAGGTAGAGTATAAACTATCAGAGGTCAAAGGCCGTTTAATATGCTTGGTATATCTCTCCTTACTTAGCATCATGCTAAACAGCACCATAGATGCTCAAGGAAATACCTGTTGATTACTTAACATAGGTAAAAATAGATAAATAGTTTTAGAAAACCTTTTTAAAAGTCAGAATTCAAATCCATCTTGGTCTAATATTTTCATGACTAATGCTTATGTTATATATTGTGTAACCATTTCTCTTTTTTCCCACAACAATGTATCAATTTGTTGTAATAAAATTAGAAATAATTTACTTTTTATAGTGTTTGAGTATTTGGAATTTCATGGACATTCTTTGGAACAATAATATACTTTTATGTATTATATTACAGGCTTTGTTCTAGTCTCTCTCATATACATACGTGTGTGTGTGTGTGTGTGTGTGTGTATTTTCACAGGGCTTAAATGGAGCTAGTGGCGAGGGGCCTGGTTCAAGTGGCAGAGTGTCTGCCTAGCAAGAATGAAACCCTGAGCTCAAATCCTGATATCACCCAAACAAACAAACAAACAAACAAAAAACCACCTAAGATAGTAAGATAGTTGTTTTGGTTTTTTAACACAGCAGCTTGGAGATGAGGAAAAGGAAGCCTAAGTTCTAGTGAGGCTAACTACCTTGCCTGAGGTCACACAGTTGGTAAGGGTGGGATTAGTGAATTGGGGTTTGAGCCCACACAGTCTGGCTCTGGAATCCATGTTCTCAGTATAATTGTGCACTGCCTGCCCAGGCACACAGCTGCTACTTCTATCAAGTTCTATTCACGTTTTTCTGTTGCTAAGCTTAGGCATTTAATTTATTTATTTCTTTTTAATTGTCATATAATATATATATATATTTGTGGGGTACATTATACATTATATAATTTATAATGATTGATTTAATCTGAATAATTAGCATTTCTATCACCTTATACATTTATCATGTCTTCATATTTGGAGACTTCAAATTCTTTCCTTCTATTTCTTTATAAAATGTATAATAAAGTGTTGAGTTAAAGGTTCGGGGAGGTTGTTTTGTTTTTTGAGACAGGGTCTCACTAGGTGGCCCAGGTTGGCCTGGAACTCTTGTTCCTCTTGCCTCAACCTCTCAAGTGCTGGGATTACAGGTGTGTACCACCATGTCCTGCTCAATTTAAGGTATTTTTAAAATCAACTTTTTTAGTATGAATCAATCTTTTAATCCTGTTGTGGTTGTTTCTGTAATGCTGACAACCTGGAATTCATTCAATGTTAAGACTTTAACAGCTCACCAGATGGAAATAAGACAATATACCATCCTATCAAGGCTCTTGGGGTCCTTGAGAGTGATCACTGATTAAGCTCCTGGATTTCTTTGCCAACACCTCCAACCAGGATCATCAATCAGTTGAGAGCCATATTAACAGAGAGCAGAGAACAGAGATAGTAACTCACTATCTCTCAAGATCACTCACTTCTTTAAAAGAGCCATCTCACTCTTGGAAAGATATTCTGCATATTAACTAGAAATCTACTTATCAACAACTTCCACCTGTTGGTCCAAATGTTAGACTTTTTTAGAACAAACTTAGGGTTTCTTCCAGATGATAACTCCTCAAGAATTTGAAGATAGCTGTTAGGGGTCTTCTATACCTCCTCTTTTTCATTTCTTCTGAACTGAAGGCTAAGGCTTTTAAAATGTGGTTTGTCATGTGCTATCTGTGCAACCTTAGACAGTAACTAACTCTTCCTCTTAACTTCCTCATGTGAACTGAGGATAACAATAGAAGCATCCTCACTATAGTGCTGGGGAGTAAATGAGATAAGACATTTAAAATAATGCTTGGAATGTGACTGCACATGGTACACGATAGTGGAATCACGGTGTTAGTTCTAATCGCCTCATCCTCATGGCAGCTCCCTTCTATCACAAAGCCTCTGTCTACGTTCAGCCTGGTCCTGAACCTACACTGCAGAGCGGACCGGCACCCATAACCACTGCTTAGTAGATTCAGATCGATGAAAAGGGTAGGGAATGACATGTGAGAAGAGCAGGAGTGGAGGGGCCGTTCTCTACTCTGAGTCCCTTCCTTGGGTCTACACCACACAAACTAAGATGATCATCCAGTTTCATACCGTATAATCTAGAAATGGTTTAACACATAAAAATGAATTATATATGGGAGGTGGTAAGGATGTGTTTTGAAATCTAGATCATTGACTTATAGAAAGTGAAAATCAATTGAGACCCATTTTAACAAAGAACAGCTCATTTACACTTTTAGAAAGAGTAAGGCATTCATCCGTGACACATGCAAAAACATTAGATATATTCTTCAGAATGTGACCATCCCAGGAGTGACATGATTAAAAGATGTGTATAAGTGCAGTAATAAGGAAAAACAACTGGAAGAAGACACGCAGATGATGAGCGACAAGACAAGGTGAGAGGTGGCACACAAACCGGCCTGAGCGATTGTGTATGTTACACCCCTTGATGAAATGGTGCAGCAGCAGGATATCGATTACCTCACTGTGCGCACCCTTTGCTTTGACGGCTTGGGGTGAAACAGTAGTGATAGGACAAAAGTCGCCTTGTCTTGTCAAACCTGCAGCTTCACTTCAGGTGTAGTAAATGCAGTGGCCTCAAACCGTATGTTGATGAGACTGAAGTTGGTAAGAAATCGGAGAGCTAAGCAGCAACACCGAGAAAGTAATTTTTTCTTTGGTACTAAGGATTGAACCCAAGGCAGAGCATGTGATGTACTACTGAGCTACACCCCACCCTCTAAATAAAGCAGGGTCTTACTATGCAGCCCAGACTGGCCTCAAACTTGACCTCTTCCTACCTCAACTTGCTGAGGACTGGGATTAGAGTTGTGTACCACCACACCTGCCTGCAATTTTTTTTTTTTTTTTTGGTGTGTGTGTGGTAGTGAGGATTGAACCCAGGGCCTTGTTTGTGGTATGCAAACAACTCTGCCACTTGACCTGCCTCCAACCCTTTTGTTTGTATTTTCTTTTTGAGATAGAGTCTCTGTCTTGATAACTTTGCCCAGGTTGGCCTCAAACTCTGGATCCTCCTGCCTCCACCTTCTGAGTAGCTAGGATTACAGGTATACACCATCATGCCCAGCTGCCAAAAAATCCTAAAGATAGAGTTCCTACATGAAAAGATTCCAAAATTTATATCCAGATTTGATCATACTTTAAATAACAATAAAACGCATTGGGAAAAAAGTATTTCAATTCCCCCAAAAGAAAGCCCAGAAAGTATGCATAGGACTGCCTCTCTTATTTACCTTGTTCTGACAACCTAGGTAACATATTGAGATAATTAAAAATATTGGAACATCAAAGATGAAATTATTATTTGGTGCAGAGAAATGGTTGTACAGCTAGAAATCTCAAGAAGATCATCCAAAAGCCCAGCACAGACGATAGAAGAATTTGGTAATGTGATGATCAAAAATTTTATATGTAAAAGACACTGATATACCAGTGATATAGATGGATAGATAGATAGATGGATAGATAGATAGATATAGATATATATAAAGAGAGAGAGAGAGACAGAGGGAGGGAGAGAGAAAGAGAGAGGGGGAACCTGATTGGATTTGTGAGTCTGTCTGAGGGGACTCTGGGGAGTCAGGAAAGGAAAAGAGAATGTTACAGTGAAAAATATTGAAGCAGTGCATCTGTGTTGTAAGCTGTTGAATAACAAGGGTGATAGAGACAATAATAAACAGGGTGATAGAGAAAGAGTAAGTAATGGGAGGGTTAATCTGATTAAAGTATGATATATACGTGTCTGAAATACTAAGACAAAACCCCCTTAAACCATCAATATACACTTTTAAAAAGTGAAAAACAGGTCTTGTCTAGGGTGGGGACCAGTGGGTGAGGGAGAGCATTTGAAGAGGGAGAAGAAGGGTGAATAGGGCACATGTATTTTGTATTCAATATGAAAATAGAACAATAAAACTTGTTGAAATTGTTCTAAGAAGAGGGTGAGGGATGAGGGAGAATCATGAAGGGTGAATCTAATTAAGATACATTCTAAGCACATGCGTAAATGTCACAATGAATCCTCATGTACAATAATTATATGCTAATAAAAAAGAAATTTCAAAAAAAGAAAGAAATTAGAAACTAGGTTCCCTTAATCTGTTAAATGTAAACATGTTCAAAATTAAGTAAATGCAAACACAAAGCAGTGACATAGACCTATCACTGACAAAGACAAAATGTTATTAATACTTTGAGTTGATCAGACACAGGGGAAGAACACTCACACACATTTTCTTTGTG